GCGGGAGACAGGGAAAATCGACGCTCAAGGACGGGCTACATCTACCGACTAGAGCCTATCGGGACTATCTCCTGGCAGTCGAGCAAACAGGAACTAATCGCACTATCTTCGGCTGAAGCAGAATATATCGCCCTCTGCACTGCGACTAGGCTTGAGCAAAACCGGGTAATTACCCGACCCGACCCGGTTTTGCAATACCCGACCTCGGGTCGGGTAATTTCGGGTCGGGTCCGGGTCGGGTAATATGCCCAGGACCCTTACCCGGACCCGGCCTTAAGGGGCGGGTAATACAATACCCGCCTGGCGGGTCCGGGTATACCCGTCCCGGTGACCCTGAAAAGCGGGTAATACTACCCGCCACCGACTAGTGGACATCCTAAAGTTGGGCTAGGCTAGGTAGGGTTCCTGAAAATGCGACTCTCAAATGAGAGTCGCGTTTCCTGGGGGTCGAATTTTGACCACCCAACTCCCTCCCTTTCACCGCACTGAACTCCTACCCATCTACAAACTCCAACCTCTTCTCCAACTCCCACCCAAATCCCTCCCTTTCACCGCACTTAACTCCTCCCCATCTACAAACTCCAACTTCTCCTCACAAATGCTCCACTCGTCCCCCCTCACCTCCAAAACCGTTTTTGCCGCAAAACCTAAAACACAGCGCGAATTACGCCCATGTCTAAGTGGAATACCCGACCTCGGGTAATTTTTTACCCGACCGGGTCGGGTACCCGTTACCCGACACGTCGGGTAGCATTTCGGGTAGCGGGTATTAATACCCAGCCCGGGTAACCCGGACCCAACCCGCCGGGTAATTTTCAGGATTTCCGATACCCGACCCGCCCTAAAAGCGGGTCAGGGTACCGGGTACCCGACCCGGGCGGGTAGTTTGCTCAACCCTAACTGCGACCAAGGAAGGACTTTACCTGCGAGAATTACTCGAGGAAGCAAAGATTGCAACCCTGCCCGTCTTCTCACTCTTCTGCGACAACCAATCTGCGATCAAAATCGCGAACAAGGACGGCTTCGCCAACCGAACCAAGCACATCGCCCTGCGGTATTTCTTCGTCAAAGATGAAATCACAAAGGGGAGACTTCAACTCAATTACTGCCCCACGACAGAAATGGCTGCAGACTACCGTATTCCCCCGTATATAAGACCCGCCGAAATAGTCAACCCATGGGTGGCATATGCGGGGGATAGCTTATGATATGGTGCATTTTTTAGAGCACCCACTTTTTTTAGTACGAATTTTACATAACACCCTCCATCGGGGATTTGTGGATTTGATTGGTCTAGCATCAAGGTTTTATCATTAGACAACAGTTTTAACACTAGTCTAAAGCCTATCCGTTGTGCGAGGCATTTCTAGTGCATTTTTTATTACCTAAGCTAGCTACCACTACCATTCACTCAGCACACACTGATAGTCCAACAGCTAGCTACATGTCCTAGCAGGGTAAGTCAATAGTTAGTCTCTGGCTTCGTCCTCATTGTGCCAGTCCTCTCCTGCATGCCACACCTCGGCATCTTCATCGTCACTGGCGATGTCATCCCAGTCAAAGTCATCAGTCCAGCGGGATGCAGCCAAGCCCGCCAGAACCTCCGCCGCAGGCATGTCTAGACCTTTGTCGCCTTCGGCAGCTGATATCCCCGCCTCTGTCGCTGCTTCTGTAGAGGTTGTTGCTGCTGCTGCTGCTGTGCGGGATCCTGGATTCCCAGACGCCTCTGATGCTGGCGCGGGTGTTGCAGCTCCAGATGCACCGGATGATGAGGCACTTGCTGCAGCTTCAATCTCCGCCTCGACATCGGGATCGTCTTCCTCCGAGCTCGGCGTGGCGCTCGGCTCCACATATTCCGACTCATAGTATGGGTTCAGCGCCCCACTCTCTTCCATTTCGGCATGGACATCTTCCATGACTTCGACCTCGGCGTTGTCCCGCATGTGGGCGAGGATCACCTCGTCCTCTGTGCCGTCGGTCGCGTTGGAAATGCCGCACGTCTTGAACGCGCGGCGGATGAGTTCAGCTGGCACCGCGGCCTAGGCGTCGGCAATCCACTGCAGCACGAGCTCGGCTGGCGGCTTGCGAAGATTCCCTGCAGGGGAAAGCAAAACAACGAGACAGTAGGCGGGGGGTTTAGGAGTAGTGGTGGAGAAATGCAAGGCATGGTTTAAAAAATCACAACACGGGTAGAGGTTTTAAAGACAAATAATAAAGACGGTTACTCACCTGCAGGGGTTGTGGACTCGCAGCCGAATTCTTTGAACCACTCACTGTAGGACCTCCGGACATGCGCCTTGACGCACCGGTTTACCGCCACGTCTAGAGGCTGTACGATAGGCGTACAACCACCGAGATGACAGCACTCGACAGCTTGAAGAGTCGCATCAACTGGGACACTCCCTCTGTGAGGTGTCCCTTGTACGAATCGAGGACCACCAGAGCCTTCTGACGGCCACCGCGCCGCGAGGGTATCGAGCGGAGAAACGGCACCAGGACGGTGGTGACCCAGTCCTTGACATGGGTCTCGTCCATCCACCCTTTCTCCTGGGCCTTGATCACAATTCCTGCACAAGCGCAAAGTACGAGACATATGAGTTTGCCCTGGAAAGATAGCTACGAAAAACATTAGCGGTGGCGGCACAAAAAAAGGCACGAAATCCTTACCGGGCGGGACGCGGATCCGAGGTAGTGTCTTCCGCTTGAAGATGACGTACGGCTTCAATTTCTTGCCACTTGCTGTGACGGCCAGCATGACGGTCAGCCTCTCCTTCTCGTAGCCGGCCGTGCGCACATGGACAGTTCTCGAGCCCCGGACTTTGAGTGTGGTCTCCTGCGGCATCTCCAAGAATAGTGGCGTCTGATCCGCGTTGATGATCAGATCGTCGGGGTAGTCGTTGAGCGTGCGGAGCTGCCGAACAACCTCCCAGAAATTCTCGACTTTCGTGTCACAGTCTGCCAATGAAAATAATAAAAAACAAAAACAGAGAAAGCATAAGTGCGGTCACCAAACAAGGAAGCACGACAAGAGCTAGACGAGGGCAGGGAGTATTCACGGCACGTCAAAGTACATACCTACAGTCATGCGCTGTCCCATCTTTGTCTTCACGCGCTTCGTCAGTCCCCAGCGCGCGCGGAACCAGAAGGTCCACCGTGACGAGGCGCGCCAGTCGATGCCGGGGTGGTGCTTACGCATGTACTTCCGACTCCATTTCTGCAGCGTGCCGATCGAGACCGCCAGCCCTCACGCGCGCTGGCCCAAGAACTTCTTGTACAGCTCGCGCTCCATGGTGGGGTACTTCGCCTTCCTACCGGAGCCGATGAGGCGACGCCTGCAGCCAGCCGAGGCAGTGAGTCGTGCCTTGTTCTTCCTCCAGTCGCGAATCTGGCACGGCTGCACTCCAGCCATCCGAGCAAGGGAGCGGTTCGACATCTCCGGCTCCGCCTCCAACTTCGCCAACCAGTACAGCTTCTCGGTTGCCGTCCGTGCGAGTCGCTTGCGATTCGTTCTGCGAGCCCTGGGGGAGGGAGGTGCAGCATCACGGTTACGAAGAGGCATATTACGACGGCGTTGCGCTTGCGGGAAACGAGGGACGATAACGCGAGGAAGTGGGCGAGGAGGTTCAGGCTCGCGGTCGTCAGCCTCATCTTCCTCCCAAAACAGGTCGTCGTCATCCTGCCAATCGTTATCCCACTCCGGAGGACGTGTGACCACCGGCGACGAGAGAGGTGGCGGAGCAGGGGGAGCCGGGGGCGCAGGAGGAGCAGGAGGTGCAGGGGGCGCTGGTGGCGCCGGTGGCGCCGGAGGAGCGGGAGGAGCGGGAGATGCAGGCGGATGTCTAGGAGCCGAAGGATCTGGTGGGAAAGGACGGATCAACGTCTGATTCCCGAAGGGTGGGCGATGAGCTCGCAAAAGTGACACACCATTAATTGCTCGAGCGGCCATGGGGGAAAATTTCGACGAGGGATAGCGAGATAGGCGAGATTGGGCAATGCCCGAGCCTCTGTTAGAGAGCTCGGGCATTGCGAAGAATTTGATTGAGGCTGAGAGGAGCGAGGAGCAAGAATGATAATGAGGCAAGAGAAGGTTGGAGAAGAACCATGGCCGACGCCCCTAACCGAAGCGCGCACGGCTCTGCAAGAAGCGATGGGACCATGCATGCTGGTCCCATCAAGAAGATTCCGTAAAGGAATCTGGTCGCGCACTTTCGTTACGTTGTAAAAACTCGGGATTCACAGCCGTCGATGAAATCTTGTCACTTGCAGGAGGCCGCTTTCCTCTTGTGCTGGCAGGACCGGCTTCCTCGGATTGGCTGCAAATGCAGCACGTCATGACGTTATCGCCAGGCTAGCCCGAGTGGAGGTTGGGAATCGTCATCCAAACCTCGCTTGTCATCCTGTACTGTGCATGTATTTCTGCATGTTACGCCCCAAATTCATTTTGCATTATACATAAGACATGGGCGTTATATTTTTCCAGCCTACTGTTAACACCCCTTCGTTTTTTTAATGAATTTTTGACAATACCCTAGGGTGTTATATACGGGGGAATACGGTACCTGACGAAGAAACTAGCGAAAGCAAAGTTCGATTACTGCATGCTACTGACCAGGCAGATAAACGTTACCAAATTCGGACACAACAGCAGTCCAGAAACGAAGGGGAGTGTTGGAAATATCTCGAGGATTTAAGCGTTCTGAAGTGTAAACACCACACTCGAGGAAGATCGTAACGGGTACGCGAGTCAATGGAGGTTACACGAGGGGAGGACAAACAACACGAAAGGACTCGAAGGGTCGCAACCGGAGGTTGCGACTGACCGTTACAACTGCAAGGATGGTAACCAAAGCGACAATCGAGTCGCTGTGCGACTCGATAACCGCTCTTCAACTGTATTCTACAACTGCTTTACTTCCCTACTTTCTATATAATGCTGTATGCTTGTTCTCTTAATCAATCACTTGTTCTCACATACTAGTGCAAGGGTTCAACTACTCAACTTCCGTTGCATTACTCAAGCACCTCTTACAACTGGGACTTAGTCTCTGGAAGGATCCTAAAGGCTTTTTCTCAGCCCAACAATTGCATCAGCGGGGTATTCCGTACCGTTTCGCCCCTGCCCTGCCCGCAAATTATTCCGTCTGTCCCAACCCAACCCCTAGGTCGTCTGGTGGGGGGCTACATCAAGTGGAGTCCTAGGTTGATAACCCCCATGCTATTTTGGCATGGGGCTTTTACAAAAACTCCCTTCGCAAAACTAAATTGTACACATGTCAGCAAGGCGGTGGTAACCAGAGGATGACAAGAGAAAGCCATGGCTCGACTGCATGCTTGAACTCCCGTTTACAGCCGTCCACATTGCAACAAGATGTGCCGGAAGTCCAGCATTCCCAGACTCTCTTCCTGCAAAAGAGTGGAAAACATTCGATACAAGCCATGGCATGCGCTAAGCATTCAAAGAAGAAACGACCCTACTGTGGTATGATAATTGGGTGTGGTACACGCTCTAACACTTAGCGGGGGGGGTGAATGGTGGCAAAAAGGGTGGTGGTAGCCACAAACATAAACCGATATCACACCAAAATATCTCAGGCAATTTAGCTCGTCGCTTACGGATGCTCACCTGTGATTGGTTGAAGAGCGTTAGCATGTCTGAGATTTGCTGCTCGCTCCACAGAAAAGAGTGCACTGCTGCCAGTCTAGTGACGTCATCAGCTGTTATGCGGCCCTCACCGCTGGCTGGATGGAGGGAGGAGAAGGGGGGTTGAGGAGAGAGGCAGACTTGACGTCACTTCACAGAAAAGAGTGCACTGCTGCCATTCTAGCGACGTCATCAGCTGTTATGCGGCCCTCACCGCTGGCTGGATGGGCGGACGAAGGTGGGGGGTTGGAGCATAATTGGAGTCAGCATCAAACCACAGAAACGACCGCTATGCTGCCCGCTTGGTGTTGTATGAAGCTGCTATGCGGCCCTCACTGCTGGCTGGATGGATAAGATGAAGGATCAGGTGGAAGACAAGGGGGGGGGGGGGGGGGGGGGAGGGAAAGCGGACACAGTGTCAAGCATAGGAAAGAGTGAACTGCTGGTAGTCTAGCAATGAGAGCGACTGCAGTGCGACCCTCACCGCTGGCTGAAGTGTGTGTGTGAAATAACGGGTGTATGAGTGAGTGTGTATGAGCATGTGAGTGTTTACGAGCATGTGAGTGTGTACGAGCATGTGAGTGTGTACGAGCATGTGAGTGTGTACGAGCATGTGAGTGTGTACGAGGATGTGAGTGTTTACGAGCATGTGAGTGTGTACGAGCATGTGAGTGTTTACGAGCATGTGAGTGTGTACGAGCATGTGAGTCTGTACGAGCATGTGAGTGTGTACGAGAATGTGAGTGTGTACGAGCATGTGAGTGTGTACGAGCATGTGAGTGTGTACGAGCATGTGAGTGTGTACGAGCATGTGAGTGTGTACGAGATTGTGAGTGTGTACGAGCATGTGAGTGTGTACGAGCATGTGAGTGTGTACGAGAATGTGAGTGTGTCCGAGCATGTGAGTGTGCGAGTGCATGTGAGTGTGTCCGAGCATGTGAGTGTGCGAGTGCATGTGAGCATGTCATGGGGACTTTCATGCAACCCAAAAGTCATGTGTGTGAAGCATATCGTGTGTCTGAGCATATCACGGGCCCGTGTTCACACATGACTTTTGACTTGACTCACAAGCGTGCGCTCGTGTGTGTGTGTGTGTGTGAACCTGCGGGCGTGCGTGTGTGTGTGTGTGTGTGTGTGTGTCTGTGTCTGTGTCTGTGTCTCTGTGTGTGTGTGGTGTGTGTGTGTGTCTGTGTGTGGGTGTGGGTGTGTGTGTGTGTGTGCGCGCGCGCGTGCGTGCATGTGTACGGTTCTGTATTCACACATGCACCATCAAGACGAGGTCAAGCCAAGAGACGCCAGAGGGAGGGAGCCGGGGAAACAGAGAAGACAGCAGATAAAGAGAGAAAATGCCAGAGGAGTGCGAGAGAGTCAGGGAGAAAGAGTGGAGGAGGAAGAGGGGGGGGCGGGGGGGAGGGAAGCAGTTCAGTTCACTCACCATCGACGGTGAAGTAAAGGGAATCCGCTTCAGAATCAGTGAGCTTCCTTAGTGGGCTACGACGGCGCTTGGACTGCAAGTAGGATGCCGGGACGCATGCAGGAAAGGGGAGGGGTGAGCTAAGGAAGGAAGCTCGCATACAGGGGTGATGGTGCAACATTGAAAGATAAAGCCTAGAATCAGTGACCTTCCTCGACCGCCCCCAACTCCACTTGGAGTCTATCTTTGAGGCGCTTCAAAAGTAAATTTCTCAACCAGCTCTGACTCCCCTTGGATGGCACATGAGAGGTCTATTTTTGAGGCGCTTCAAAAATAGCTTTCTCAACCGGCTCTGACCCCCCTTGGATTGCACGTGAGAGGTGGGATGACTTTTGAGTCGAATCAAAAGTCACCTGATTGCACGTGAGAGGTGGGATTGGGAAATGGTGGCCTTTGGCGCGCCTCAGGTATGTCTGGAAAAGGTCAACTAAGGTCAACTAAGGTCTACTCTTTTCGAATCAGAAAGCTTTCCAGGCAAAAATCTCCAGAGCCACGCAAGCAAGAGGGGGGAAGGCAGGTTAGAATAGAGGCGGAACGAAAGTTTAAAACTGCGAACCCTTTTCGCCTTCAGTGCTCCTTTTGACTGCTGATGTGAGTTCGAACAATGCAGGGCATAGGAAAACCCGCTGAAAGTGGGCCATATAAACCCCACAACGAGACCCCATTTAAGTAAGGTCCTATGCAATCCTCCATACATGAACGAACCCAGTGAGAGAGGAAACTACATAGAGAACATACTACATTCGCGCGCCGGCGGTTTTTTAGCTAAAAACTCGCGACACCCACCTTGCTCTTGCCTCTCCTGCTTCTGTCTTTGCTGATGTCCCTCTCACCCCCTCCCTCACCACTCCCTACTCCTCCACCCTTCTCTTCTCCTCCTCCCTTCTCTTCTCCTCCTCCCTGTCCACCTCCTCCTCCCTCCCCACTTTCTCGTGTTGCACCAAACCAACGCCTTCTGGGCTCAGCACCAACACCACTAGAGTCCCCCCTGGCTCTGACATCATTACCAGCACCAACACCAGCGCTGGAAGCGGCCATGGAGAGCGAGAGGGCTATGGCCTGCAGCAGAACGGACAGGGAGAAACGGAGCACGAGGGCATTGTGCTTCCTTTGCAACATTGCAACCTGTAACCAGGCGATAGTGCACTGCAGCATGCAGCATGCCATGATGGCATGAAGATGATGGTAGTGTGCTTCCTTTGCAACATTGCAACATGTAACCACGGCATGGCATTATGGCATGGCATGGCAGTATGGCATGGCATGGCAGTATGGCATGGCATTACCACCAGCGTCAATCACGGCAGCATGGTGACCCACCATCTGCAGCTCATCATCATTTTGGTTCTGAGGCGCCTCAAAATGACAAGAGTCCAGTTTTGAGGCGCCTCAAAATGATAAGAGTCCAGTTTTGAGGCGCCTCAAAATGATAAGAGCCCAGTTCTGAGGCGCCTCAAATGACGGCAGCATGTCTCACCATCTGCAGCTCATCATCTTCATCCTTCACCCCCAAATCTCCCTTTTTTTGAGGCGCCTCAAAAATAGCCTCCTTCACCCCCAAATCTCCCTCCCCAATTGTGACGGCTGCTGCTTTGCTGCCGCAACCATCCAATCCCATCCACCGCTTGTGAGTAGCCACAGCATTTCCTCTGCTCTTTCTGCCTGCCTGCCGCCCATTTCTCCTCGCACTGCTGCCATCACCACCACCTTTCTCCTCCTCCTCCTCCTCCTCATCCTTTATCCCCTCCTCGTCCTCCCGTTTTTCATCATCATCATCATCATCATCGTCATCGTCACTGGCGGCATCTGGAATGTATTCCTCGTCTCCGTCTTTCCCCAACTCGCCCTCCCCCCCTTCCTCCTCCTTCACCTCCTCCTCTCCCTTGCCCCGATCACCACTACTACCGCCCCCTCCCCTTCGTCTTTTCTGAACCCGAACAGATTGCCGGGTGCCTGAAGAACAGGCGGTACGAGTAAGGGAGAAGCACGACAAAGGAGCATCAGAGAAATAAAGTACGCAGTAGGGAAAAGGTAAATTCAGTGGTAGAAAGAAAGAAAGAAAGAAAGAAAAACATAGCTGGCCAGCCCTTGTTACTCCAGGCCCCTTCACGAGGGCCTCGGGCCGCAAGGGATTCATAGGGCAGCGAGACGTCACTTTTGAGAATTCTCAAGGGATTCATAGGGCAGCGAGACGTCACGCCTTGTAGCTGAGGTCGTACCTCCGAAGGGGACGAGGCGGTGGCTCTCCCGATCAGGGTGACCACAACATCGGCGGACAACTTAGCCAGTTGGCTGCTCCCTTCACGCAGACCAGCGCCGCAATCGCTAGGAGCGCCACTAGGAGCGCCGCTAGGAGCGCCACTAGGAGCACCGCTAGGAGCGAAGCAAGGTGCGTAAGGCACAATGATTGGGACACACACGGCACAAAGATGGCAGACACACACGGCACACAAGGCAGAACCAACCAACAACGCTACCTGGCGCGAGTCTGCGCTCCTGAGCAGACAGGTGACTACCGACAATGGCGGACGACTTTGAGCCGGCTGGCTGCGGCCTTCACGCTCAGCGCCAGACACAAGGCTGGAATACACGAGACACGAAAGCGAATACGAGAGACACGAAAGCGCACCGTCGACACAAAAGCACACCGTAGACACGAAACGCTCGCGGTACCATTTTTTATAATTCTCAAATATGACTCCAAGGTACCTGGCACGAGTCTTCGCTCCTGAAGGGTGGAGCGACCACCGACGACGACACAGGCGGACGACTGGAGCCGGCTCGCTGCAGCCTTCACGTCCAGCGCCGCTAGGAGCGCCGCGTTTCTCGCCATGCGATCCGCTCTTAGCCGCTCGTACGCCGTCATGTCTCCCGCTCCATCTCCACGTGCGTTACTATCTTTATCCCTGTAACCATTTCCGTCACCGTTACCGTCACCGTTTCCGTCACCGTTTCCGTTACCGTTTCCGTCACCATTTCCGTCAGCATCCCCACCAGCGTCCACCCTATTAGCGGAGTCGGAGTCGCTGGATTCCGATTCTGAGGGTGACGACTCGTCTCCTGCCTGTGAGTTGGTCGCCTCTCCGTTATTTAATTTCCCTTTCTTAAGTGCTTCCGTTACTTCCGTTGCCTTTTGAGTCGACTCAAGAGCTGATCGCCCTCCCTTGAGTGTCGCCGTTTCCCAACCGACACAGTTCGTACCCTCCTCCTCGTCCTCTGCTGCTATTTCTCTCGGCCTCCTCGTTCCGCGTGGTGGTGGCTTCATTCTCCCGAAATCATTGAGCTCGTTACTAATGAGCACGTCTAACGAGTAGCACAACGCGAAATTCTAATGAGGGGAGATACACCACTATCGAGTATCACGCCACACGAGAAGCTGCCAAACGACTAGTGGCTGTGGGCGTGCCTACTCTACACCTGAACCAACACCTGAACCAACACCTGAACCAACACCTGAACTAACACCTGAACCAACACCTGAACTAACACCTGAACCAACACCTGAACTAACACCTGAACCAACTCCTGAACCAAACCGCTGTGCCCTAATGTCGGTGAGATTTAAACCTACTATCGCTCGACTGATTCGCGGCTAGCTGGCGACGGCTAGCGAAGGCGTTTTTTTAGACGCCTCACAACACGACGGCGAGCGATGACGACAGCCGGCGGTGAAGTTGGTTGATGTGATAGGCGTAGGACGCCAGGAAGCGTGATTTCTGGCCCCAGAATCATGCCCCCAAACGTAGCATACGTTGTGGAATGCCAGGAGTGCACTGTGCGAAGTGTTCCGCAACATGTTGCGAGCTGTGCCACCAGGGCGGGGAGCGGGGGAACGACATAGTCCCCCGTTTCCCGAAATCGTGCAGCAGTGTCGGAACAGCGCAGACGCAGGGGTGCCTGTTAGAATGTGATCCATTACATGATTAAGGGTGGATCAACAAGGTTGCGGTGAAACGAATTGTTTGTGCCTCTTATGAAACGTTTGCTGTAGAGTTACAGCTATAGTATTAAGAGAACAATTCACGGATGTGGAAGCAGTGGGGCAGGGGATGTGGAAGCAGTGGGGCAAGGGATGTGGAAGCAGTGGGGCAAGGGATGTGGAAGCAGTGGGGGGGGGGAGGGGGCAGGGATGTGGAAGCAGTGGGGCAAGGGGATGTGGAAGCAGTGGGGCAGGGGATGTGGAAGCAGTGGGGCAGGGGATGTGGAAGCAGTGGGGCAGGGGATGTGGAAGCAGTGGGGCAAGGGATGTGGAAGCAGTGGGGCAGGGGATGTGGAAGCAGTGGGGCAGGGATGTGGAAGCAGTGGGGCAGGGGATGTGGAAGCAGTGGGGCAAGGGGATGTGGAAGCAGTGGGGCAGGGGATGTGGAAGCAGTGGGGCAGGGGATGTGGAAGCAGTGGGGCAGGGGATGTGGAAGCAGTGGGGCAAGGGATGTGGAAGCAGTGGGGCAGGGGATGTGGAAGCAGTGGGGCAAGGGATGTGGAAGCAGTGGGGCAAGGGGATGTGGAAGCAGTGGGGGCAGGGGATGTGGAAGCAGTGGGGCAGGGGATGTGGAAGCAGTGGGGCAGGGGATGTGGAAGCAGTGGGGCAGGGGATGTGGAAGCAGTGGGGCAGGGGATGTGGAAGCAGTGGGGCAGGGGGGGAGTGGGGCAGGGATGTGGAAGCAGTGGGGCAAGGGATGTGGAAGCAGTGGGGCAGGGGATGTGGAAGCAGTGGGGCAGGGGATGTGGAAGCAGTGGGGCAGGGGATGTGGAAGCAGTGGGGCAGGGGATGTGGAAGCAGTGGGGCAAGGGATGTGGAAGCAGTGGGGCAAGGGATGTGGAAGCAGTGGGGCAGGGGATGTGGAAGCAGTGGGGCAAGGGATGTGGAAGCAGTGGGGCAAGGGGATGTGGAAGCAGTGGGGCAGGGGATGTGGAAGCAGTGGGGCAAGGGGATGTGGAAGCAGTGGGGCAAGGGGATGTGGAAGCAGTGGGGCAGGGGATGTGGAAGCAGTGGGGCAAGGGATGTGGAAGCAGTGGGGCAGGGGATGTGGAAGCAGTGGGGCAGGGGATGTGGAAGCAGTGGGGCAAGGGATGTGGAAGCAGTGGGGCAGGGGATGTGGAAGCAGTGGGGCAAGGGATGTGGAAGCAGTGGGGCAGGGGATGTGGAAGCAGTGGGGCAAGGGGATGTGGAAGCAGTGGGGGCAGGGGATGTGGAAGCAGTGGGGCAAGGGATGTGGAAGCAGTGGGGCAGGGGATGTGGAAGCAGTGGGGCAGGGATGTGGAAGCAGTGGGGCAAGGGGATGTGGAAGCAGTGGGGCAGGGATGTGGAAGCAGTGGGGCAAGGGATGTGGAAGCAGTGGGGCAGGGGATGTGGAAGCAGTGGGGCAAGGGATGTGGAAGCAGTGGGGCAAGGGATGTGGAAGCAGTGGGGCAGGGGATGTGGAAGCAGTGGGGCAAGGGATGTGGAAGCAGTGGGGCAAGGGATGTGGAAGCAGTGGGGCAAGGGATGTGGAAGCAGTGGGGCAAGGGATGTGGAAGCAGTGGGGCAGGGGATGTGGAAGCAGTGGGGCAAGGGATGTGGAAGCAGTGGGGCAAGGGATGTGGAAGCAGTGGGGCAGGGGATGTGGAAGCAGTGGGGCAGGGGATGTGGAAGCAGTGGGGCAAGGGATGTGGAAGCAGTGGGGCAAGGGATGTGGAAGCAGTGGGGCAAGGGATGTGGAAGCAGTGGGGCAGGGGATGTGGAAGCAGTGGGGCAAGGGATGTGGAAGCAGTGGGGCAAGGGATGTGGAAGCAGTGGGGCAAGGGATGTGGAAGCAGTGGGGCAAGGGATGTGGAAGCAGTGGGGCAGGGGATGTGGAAGCAGTGGGGCAAGGGATGTGGAAGCAGTGGGGCAGGGGATGTGGAAGCAGTGGGGCAAGGGATGTGGAAGCAGTGGGGCAGGGGATGTGGAAGCAGTGGGGCAAGGGATGTGGAAGCAGTGGGGCAAGGGATGTGGAAGCAGTGGGGCAAGGGATGTGGAAGCAGTGGGGCAGGGGATGTGGAAGCAGTGGGGCAAGGGGATGTGGAAGCAGTGGGGCAAGGGATGTGGAAGCAGTGGGGCAAGGGATGTGGAAGCAGTGGGGGCAAGGGATGTGGAAGCAGTGGGGCAGGGGATGTGGAAGCAGTGGGGCAAGGGATGTGGAAGCAGTGGGGCAAGGGATGTGGAAGCAGTGGGGCAGGGGATGTGGAAGCAGTGGGGCAGGGGATGTGGAAGCAGTGGGGCAAGGGATGTGGAAGCAGTGGGGCAAGGGGATGTGGAAGCAGTGGGGCAGGGGATGTGGAGCAGTGGGGGGGATGTGGAAGCAGTGGGGCAAGGGATGTGGAAGCAGTGGGGCAGGGGATGTGGAAGCAGTGGGGCAAGGGATGTGGAAGCAGTGGGGCAGGGGATGTGGAAGCAGTGGGGCAGGGGATGTGGAAGCAGTGGGGCAAGGGATGTGGAAGCAGTGGGGCAGGGGATGTGGAAGCAGTGGGGCAAGGGATGTGGAAGCAGTGGGGCAAGGGATGTGGAAGCAGTGGGGCAGGGGATGTGGAAGCAGTGGGGCAGGGGATGTGGAAGCAGTGGGGCAGGGGATGTGGAAGCAGTGGGGCAGGGATGTGGAAGCAGTGGGGCAGGGGATGTGGAAGCAGTGGGGCAGGGATGTGGAAGCAGTGGGGCAGGGGATGGAAGCAGTGGGGCAGGGATGTGGAAGCAGGGGCAGGGGATGTGGAAGCAGTGGGGCAGGGATGTGGAAGCAGTGGGGCAGGGGATGTGGAAGCAGTGGGGCAGGGGATGTGGAAGCAGTGGGGCAGGGGATGTGGAAGCAGTGGGGCAGGGGATGTGGAAGCAGTGGGGCAGGGATGTGGAAGCAGTGGGGCAGGGATGTGGAAGCAGTGGGGCAGGGGATGTGGAAGCAGTGGGGCAGGGATGTGGAAGCAGTGGGGCAGGGATGTGGAAGCAGTGGGGCAGGGGATGTGGAAGCAGTGGGGCAGGGGATGTGGAAGCAGTGGGGCAGGGGATGTGGAAGCAGTGGGGCAAGGGATGTGGAGCAGTGGGGCAAGGGATGTGGAAGCAGTGGGGCAGGGGATGTGGAAGCAGTGGGGCAGGGGATGTGGAAGCAGTGGGGCAGGGGATGTGGAAGCAGTGGGGCAGGGATGTGGAAGCAGTGGGGCAAGGGATGTGGAAGCAGTGGGGCAAGGGATGTGGAAGCAGTGGGGCAGGGGATGTGGAAGCAGTGGGGAGGGATGTGGAAGCAGTGGGGCAGGGGATGTGGAAGCAGTGGGGCAGGGATGTGGAAGCAGTGGGGCAGGGGATGTGGAAGCAGTGGGGCAGGGATGTGGAAGCAGTGGGGCAAGGGGATGTGGAAGCAGTGGGGCAGGGGATGTGGAAGCAGTGGGGCAAGGGATGTGGAAGCAGTGGGGGGGGGGGGGGGGGGGGGGGGCAGGGGGCAGGGGATGTGGAAGCAGTGGGGCAGGGGATGTGGAAGCAGTGGGGCAAGGGATGTGGAAGCAGTGGGGCAAGGGATGTGGAAGCAGTGGGGCAGGGGATGTGGAAGCAGTGGGGCAGGGGATGTGGAAGCAGTGGGGCAAGGGATGTGGAAGCAGTGGGGCAGGGGATGTGGAAGCAGTGGGGCAGGGGATGTGGAAGCAGTGGGGCAAGGGATGTGGAAGCAGTGGGGCAAGGGATGTGGAAGCAGTGGGGCAGGGGATGTGGAAGCAGTGGGGCAGGGGATGTGGAAGCAGTGGGGCAGGGGATGTGGAAGCAGTGGGGCAAGGGATGTGGAAGCAGTGGGGCAAGGGATGTGGAAGCAGTGGGGCAGGGGATGTGGAAGCAGTGGGGCAAGGGATGTGGAAGCAGTGGGGCAGGGATGTGGAAGCAGTGGGGCAGGGGATGTGGAAGCAGTGGGGCAGGGATGTGGAAGCAGTGGGGCAGGGGATGTGGAAGCAGTGGGGCAGGGGATGTGGAAGCAGTGGGGCAAGGGATGTGGAAGCAGTGGGGCAGGGGATGTGGAAGCAGTGGGGCAAGGGATGTGGAAGCAGTGGGGCAGGGGATGTGGAAGCAGTGGGGCAGGGGATGTGGAAGCAGTGGGCGGGAGGGAGGGGGGCAGGGGATGTGGAAGCAGTGGGGCAGGGGATGTGGAAGCAGTGGGGCAAGGGATGTGGAAGCAGTGGGGCAAGGGATGTGGAAGCAGTGGGGCAGGGGATGTGGAAGCAGTGGGGCAGGGATGTGGAAGCAGTGGGGCAGGGATGTGGAAGCAGTGGGGCAGGGGATGTGGAAGCAGTGGGGGCAGGGGATGTGGAAGCAGTGGGGCAAGGGATGTGGAAGCAGTGGGGCAGGGGATGTGGAAGCAGTGGGGCAGGGGATGTGGAAGCAGTGGGGCAGGGGATGTGGGAAGCAGTGGGGCAAGGGATGTGGAAGCAGTGGGGCAGGGATGTGGAAGCAGTGGGGCAAGGGATGTGGAAGCAGTGGGGCAGGGGATGTGGAAGCAGTGGGGCAAGGGATGTGGAAGCAGTGGGGGGGGCAGGGGAATGTGGAAGCAGTGGGGCAAGGGATGTGGAAGCAGTGGGGGCAGGGGATGTGGAAGCAGTGGGGCAGGGGGATGTGGAAGCAGTGGGGCAAGGGATGTGGAAGCAGTGGGGCAGGGATGTGGAAGCAGTGGGGCAGGGGATGTGGAAGCAGTGGGGCAGGGGATGTGGAAGCAGTGGGGCAAGGGGATGTGGAAGCAGTGGGGCAAGGGATGTGGAAGCAGTGGGGCAAGGGATGTGGAAGCAGTGGGGCAGGGATGTGGAAGCAGTGGGGCAGGGGATGTGGAAGCAGTGGGGCAAGGGGATGTGGAAGCAGTGGGGCAAGGGATGTGGAAGCAGTGGGGCAAGGGATGTGGAAGCAGTGGGGCAGGGATGTGGAAGCAGTGGGGCAAGGGATGTGGAAGCAGTGGGGCAGGGGATGTGGAAGCAGTGGGGCAGGGATGTGGAAGCAGTGGGCAAGGGATGTGGAAGCAGTGGGGCAGGGGATGTGGAAGCAGTGGGGCAGAGGGGCAGGGGAATGTGGAAGCAGTGGGGCAAGGGATGTGGAAGCAGTGGGGAGGGATGTGGAAGCAGTGGGGCAGGGGATGTGGAAGCAGTGGGGCAAGGGATGTGGAAGCAGTGGGGCAGGGGATGTGGAAGCAGTGGGGCAAGGGATGTGGAAGCAGTGGGGCAGGGGATGTGGAAGCAGTGGGGCAGGGGATGTGGAAGCAGTGGGGCAGGGGATGTGGAAGGCAGTGGGGCAGGGGATGTGGAAGCAGTGGGGCAGGGGATGTGGAAGCAGTGGGGCAGGGGATGTGGAAGCAGTGGGGCAAGGGGATGTGGAAGCAGTGGGGCAAGGGATGTGGAAGCAGTGGGGGCAGGGGATGTGGAAGCAGTGGGGCAGGGGATGTGGAAGCAGTGGGGGCAGGGATGTGGAAGCAGTGGGGCAGGGGATGTGGAAGCAGTGGGGCAGGGGATGTGGAAGCAGTGGGGCAAGGGATGTGGAAGCAGTGGGGCAGGGGATGTGGAAGCAGTGGGGCAAGGGATGTGGAAGCAGTGGGGCAGGGGATGTGGAAGCAGTGGGGCAGGGGATGTGGAAGCAGTGGGGCAGGGGATGTGGAAGCAGTGGGGCAGGGGATGTGGAAGCAGTGGGGCAAGGGATGTGGAAGCAGTGGGGCAGGGGATGTGGAAGCAGTGGGGCAAGGGATGTGGAAGCAGTGGGGCAGGGATGTGGAAGCAGTGGGGCAGGGGATGTGGAAGCAGTGGGGCAGGGGATGTGGAAGCAGTGGGGCAGGGGATGTGGAAGCAGTGGGGCAAGGGATGTGGAAGCAGTGGGCGGGATGTGGAAGCAGTGGGGCAGGGGATGTGGAAGCAGTGGGGCAAGGGATGTGGAAGCAGTGGGGCAAGGGATGTGGAAGCAGTGGGGCAGGGGATGTGGAAGCAGTGGGGCAGGGGATGTGGAAGCAGTGGGGCAAGGGATGTGGAAGCAGTGGGGCAGGGGATGTGGAAGCAGTGGGGCAAGGGATGTGGAAGCAGTGGGGCAAGGGATGTGGAAGCAGTGGGGCAGGGGATGTGGAAGCAGTGGGGCAGGGGATGTGGAAGCAGTGGGGCAGGGGATGTGGAAGCAGTGGGGGGGGGGCAGGGGATGTGGAAGCAGTGGGGCAAGGGATGTGGAAGCAGTGGGGCAGGGGATGTGGAAGCAGTGGGGCAAGGGATGTGGAAGCAGTGGGGCAGGGGATGTGGAAGCAGTGGGGCAAGGGATGTGGAAGCAGTGGGGCAAGGGATGTGGAAGCAGTGGGGCAAGGGATGTGGAAGCAGTGGGGCAGGGGATGTGGAAGCAGTGGGGCAGGGGATGTGGAAGCAGTGGGGCAGGGGATGTGGAAGCAGTGGGGCAAGGGATGTGGAAGCAGTGGGGCAAGGGATGTGGAAGCAGTGGGGCAAGGGATGTGGAAGCAGTGGGGCAGGGGATGTGGAAGCAGTGGGGCAGGGATGTGGAAGCAGTGGGGCAAGGGATGTGGAAAGCAGTGGGGCAGGGGATGTGGAAGCAGTGGGGCAAGGGATGTGGAAGCAGTGGGGGCAGGGATGTGGAAGCAGTGGGGCAGGGATGTGGAAGCAGTGGGGCAAGGGATGTGGAAGCAGTGGGGCAGGGGATGTGGAAGCAGTGGGGCAAGGGATGTGGAAGCAGTGGGGCAGGGGATGTGGAAGCAGTGGGGCAAGGGATGTGGAAGCAGTGGGGCAAGGGATGTGGAAGCAGTGGGGCAGGGGATGTGGAAGCAGTGGGGCAGGGGATGTGGAAGCAGTGGGGCAAGGGATGTGGAAGCAGTGGGGCAGGGGATGTGGAAGCAGTGGGGCAAGGGATGTGGAAGCAGTGGGGCAGGGGATGTGGAAGCAGTGGGGCAAGGGATGTGGAAGCAGTGGGGCAGGGGATGTGGAAGCAGTGGGGCAAGGGGGATGTGGAAGCAGTGGGGCAGGGGATGTGGAAGCAGTGGGGCAGGGGATGTGGAAGCAGTGGGGCAAGGGATGTGGAAGCAGTGGGGCAGGGGATGTGGAAGCAGTGGGGCAAGGGGATGTGGGCAGGGGGCAGGGGATGTGGGAAGCAGTGGGGCAGGGGATGTGGAAGCAGTGGGGCAAGGGATGTGGAAGCAGTGGGGCAGGGGATGTGGAAAGCAGTGGGGCAGGGGAATGTGGAAGCAGTGGGGCAGGGATGTGGAGCAGTGGGGCAGGGGATGTGGAAGCAGTGGGGCAAGGGATGTGGAAGCAGTGGGGCAGGGGATGTGGAAGCAGTGGGGCAGGGGATGTGGAAGCAGTGGGGCAGGGGATGTGGAAGCAGTGGGGCAGGGGATGTGGAAGCAGTGGGGCAAGGGATGTGGAAGCAGTGGGGCAGGGGATGTGGAAGCAGTGGGGCAGGGGATGTGGAAGCAGTGGGGCAAGGGATGTGGAAGCAGTGGGGCAGGGGATGTGGAAGCAGTGGGGCAGGGGATGTGGAAGCAGTGGGGCAAGGGATGTGGAAGCAGTGGGGCAGGGGATGTGGAAGCAGTGGGGCAGGGGATGTGGAAGCAGTGGGGCAGGGATGTGGAAGCAGTGGGGCAGGGGATGTGGAAGCAGTGGGGCAGGGGATGTGGAAGCAGTGGGGCAGGGGATGTGGAAGCAGTGGGGCAAGGGATGTGGAAGCAGTGGGGCAGGGGATGTGGAAGCAGTGAGGCAGGGGATGCGGAAGCAGTGGGGCAAGGGATGTGGAAGCAGTGGGGCAGGGGATGTGGAAGCAGTGGGGCAAGGGATGTGGAAGCAGTGGGGCAGGGGATGTGGAAGCGGTGGGGCAGGGGATGTGGAGGCGGTGGGAGGGCAAGATCGTCAGCCAGAATGACGGTTCTTGTGCATTGGGGGGGGGAGAGGGGGAGAGAATACCAAGCCATAAACAACGAGCGGGATTGGTGGCATAGCATTGACACATGGTCGCAGATGGAAAAGGAGCGGTGGAGCAGTGACATGGCTCGTCTGCGTGGGCGCTGTATGGGCACCACGAGCTGTGTAGGAAACACATATGGAGCAGGGAAATTGGTGCGGATGGGCTGAAGTGACAGGGATATTTGGTTGGGGAAGTGAGCGATATTCATAGGATGCATGTACCTGAATATAGGCGTCGTATGCAAGCTGAGATAAGCTGAGATAAGCTGAGATAAGGTTGGTTCAGTGTTGGGGCAGCAGTTGCAGTCCACGTATCTGCTTCGCAGGGCTGCCTTGAATTGCGCCGAAGACCCCTTACCCCAAGGTTTGTGTGTAACTTATAGCCGCCCCATGATCATCATCAGCAACATTATCATCTAATCGCACGCTCATAATCTTTTCGTCTTGTCCCTGTCTTACTCTCTGTATATCCCTTCTTACCATGGGTGTTCTGCACCCGTAAACTCCTATATTCCTATCTCCGCCTTCTCACTTTCTCCGCCCCAACCAGATTCCTACAGCGGGGTACGGGACAGAGCGCTGCGGGTTTCGTGCGACCGAACGCGGGCCGTTATTTTTCGTGCTTAGAAACGGCTGTTGTGGACGTCGCGGCATGGCGGCGTACGAGGACACCGTTGCTAACGTTGCGCCTGGAAGAAAGACCGTACGCAGCGTACGATGCTATTGTCTCGGTCTGTGGGCCGAGTATCATATCGCCATAGCACAGCAATCCGTGACTGGCTACTTTCCTCTTCGGATTCACGCGTCTAGAGATGCTGCGTGATCTATCTTGGTCGCAACGGGGTACCCTAAACGGCGGGAATGCCTACCGTCCCCAGGCAGCATCGTTGCTTCTTGTACTCTGTACACGCTGTCCTATGACCATTTTGTAATTTCCCCAAAACTGATACACTTGGAACCTAAGTTACTAGCAGAATACGAGAAGGACGTCAGCAGAAAGTTTAATGCGCGTTTCTGCCAATATTTGTTCTTTTGTTACACTAGAGAAGGTGGCCATTCGGTCACATTTTGGTATAGGCATTTGTACCTTTTTTTTTCGTACCTTGTGAGTCTTCGTTTTGTCCGTAACGTGTTACGCATGCTTATACTCCTAAAAGCACGCGCGCAATGGAGGCGCGGAACAGTGGTTGTGCAGTGTGCGCATGAACGTGCAAGTATGCTCTACACATGATGCCCGCCGGAGGCCTAGCTCAATACGTGGCCCAATCAGGAACCATCGCCCATTAGCGTTGTCACACGGGCAACGGCCCACTCAACGTGGGCCGTGAACAGAGCCAGCAGTGCAGCGTCATCATGACAGCGGTGACAAACATGCGGCACAAGACGAAGGATGTGCGCTGCAACCTTTTTCGCCACAAACTTCCAGCCGCGCTCGGAATAGCGCTCCAGCGAAGGTCAGCGAGCCTTTCGTTGAGCTCGCAAAATTACGCACACCTCGCTGGGTTTGTTTGTGGCTTGAGCGTCGCCGCATGAAACCGAACGCTGACTTGGCAGCGAAATGGAGTCGCAATGTCCCGATGCCAGGGGTCGTTCTCAACATCCGACAGCCAACCCAGGAAAGACTCGAAAACAAATTCCCACAATCCACGCAGTAGTTATTGTTGCGACACGAACCTTCAATTCGTAATATAAGAAATATTTAGAACACGTCCGTAATATTTGGAGCTGAAATGCGACTCCAACACCTCACCCCATCATACTGAGTATAAAAGGGAGCAAACCAAACCAGAAAAAATCACTCAACATCTCACCTGCCAACCACCACTCTGGTGCTACACCAGGGAAACTCTCTCAAGCTTGAAAGCGTCGAAACTTAACACAGGGTAACTAAGTGAACAATGGCTCGCCAAAATATGCCACTCAAACCTACCCCGCAAAACATCAAAATGGTAACCTTCGTGCCCGTGCGAAAGGCCCACATGCCCGTGACGATGCCGTGCGAAACCTGTGCGCGTTTTTGTCTACCGGCACCCTGAAAAGTTGTGTTCCTCTGTCAGGCTCAAGGTGTAGGTATGCACGGGGATTGAGCCAAGAGTCCAGTGGCACTCCAAAAACGCAGCATCTGCTCAACAATTGGAAACCGGTAACCTCAACGGAGAAGATGAACAGCTAGAGCACGCTGGGTTGAAACAAGAAAAGGCTTGGGAGGTTGGAAAGGTTTGGAAGTTTGGGCTGAAGGTTTGGAAGTTTGGGCTGAAGGTTTGGAAGTTTGGCCTGAAGGTTTGGAAGTTTGGGCTGAAGGTTTGGCATGTTCGTGGGAGGCTTGGAAAGTTTTGTGACGGTTCGATTGGTTGGAAAGGTTTGGTAGGTTGGTAGGTTTGGAAGGTTTTGAGGGACGCGTGGGAGGTTCAGGGACGGCTTTGGTTTGGAAGATTTGGTTTGGTCGACCTCGCGACAATCTCAATGTTCGCCAAACAAGGCTGGTAACATAGCTCACCGTAGTAAGTTCTTTTTCGCGTGGGACTGGTAACTATTTCGCAACGCAAGGATTTTGCGATTTGCGGAGCAGTTCCCTAATCTAGGCGACAGGCCCTGTCTGTCAGGTAATGGTGCCGAGGCTGAAGGGGGGGTTTGGTAGTTTGGTTCGTCACCTTCTTTCCCCAACAGACCTCACGCAGGGGTTGGGCGAATGCGTGGGCTTTCGTCTGCTTTGATGATTTTGTGTTCACATTTCTCTACTCGCTCTCCAATCAGCCCCCACTTTCTGTCTCTATTGTTGAACACTTGGGAAACCTAGACCCCGCGCTTTTATCTCACAACTATCCCTCGGAGGGCACACCTTGAGCATTGTCACATGTTACTTCAGGGATACTTTTCTGGGCCAGAGCCAGAGCCGTGAGGAAAATCAGAGCCGTGAGGAAAATCAGAGCCGTGTGACAAAACCTGCGAGATGGCTCGGAAATCCAGTGCTAGGAACTGGCGAGATTCTGCCACCTCGCCTCATTCACCGTCAGCGTCCCTCCTCCTGTCCACGTCAGCACTCGCGCTGAGCATACTAGCTGGCGCGTGGCTGGTGCCACGTCAGCTCTGGGGAGCGGATCTGACAAGTAACCCGCTGACGTGTATCAAGTCGACATGTGTAAGTCCACGTGTCCGTACCGCGTGGCATCCCATCCCCTTCTCCTCCCCGTCCCATCCTTTCTCCTCCCCGTCCCATCCTTTCTCCTCCCCGTCCCATCCTTTCTCCTCCCCGTCCCATCCTTTCTCCTCCCCGTCCCATCCTTTCTCCTCCCCGTCCCATCCTTTCTCCTCCCCGTCCCTTCCCTTCTCCTCCCCGTCCCATCCTTTCTCCTCCCCGTCCCATCCTTTCTCCTCCCCGTCCCATCCTTTCTCCTCCCCGTCCCATCCTTTCTCCTCCCCGTCCCATCCTTTCTCCTCCCCGTCCCGTCATTTCTCCTCCCCGTCCCATCCTTTTTCCTCCCCGTCCCATCCTTTTTCCTCCCCGTCCCATCCTTTCTCCTCCCCGTCCCGTCCTTTCTCCTCCCCGTCCCATCCTTTCTCCTCCGCGTCCCATCCTTTCTCCTCCCCGTCCCATCCTTTCTCCTCCCCGTCCCGTCCTTTCTCCTCCCCGTCCCTTCCCTTCTCCTCCCCGTCCCATCCTTTCTCCTCCCCGTCCCATCCTTTCTCCTCCCCGTCCCATCCTTTTTCCTCCCCGTCCCATCCTTTTTCCTCCCCGTCCCATCCTTTCTCCTCCCCGTCCCATCCTTTCTCCTCCCCGTCCCATCCTTTCTCCTCCCCGTCCCGTCCTTTCTCCTCCCCGTCCCATCCTTTCTCCTCCCCGTCCCATCCTTTCTCCTCCCCGTCCCATCCTTTCTCCTCCCCGTCCCGTCCTTTCTCCTCCCCGTCCCATCCTTTTTCCTCCCCGTCCCATCCTTTCTCCTCCCCGTCCCATCCTTTCTCCTCCCCGTCCCATCCTTTCTCCTCCCCGTCCCATCCTTTCTCCTCCCCGTCCCATCCTTTTTCCTCCCCGTCCCATCCTTTTTCCTCCCCGTCCCATCCTTTCTCCTCCCCGTCCCATCCTTTCTCCTCCCCGTCCCATCCTTTCTCCTCCCCGTCCCATCCTTTCTCCTCCCCGTCCCATCCTTTCTCCTCCCCGTCCCATCCTTTCTCCTCCCCGTCCCATCCTTTCTCCTCCCCGTCCCGTCCTTTCTCCTCCCCGTCCCATCCTTTTTCCTCCCCGTCCCATCCTTTCTCCTCCCCGTCCCATCCTTTCTCCTCCCCGTCCCATCCTTTCTCCTCCCCGTCCCATCCTTTCTCCTCCCCGTCCCATCCTTTCTCCTCCCCGTCCCATCCTTTCTCCTCCCCGTCTCATCCTTTCTCCTCTCCTTCTCCTCTCCTTCCCCTCTCCTTCTCCTTCTCCTCTTCTTCTCCTTCTCCTCTCCTTCCCCTCTCCTTCTCCTTCTCCTCTCCTTCCCCTCTCCTTGTCCTTCTCCTCTCCTTCTCCTTCTCCTCTCCTTCCCCTCTCCTCTCCTCTCGTCTCCTCTCTTCCCATCATCTCTCTCTACTGGCACTTCTTCTGCCACTCTCCCTGCTTCTCTTCTCGCTCCCTCCCTCCCGTTATTCAAGCCGCCTCAGAAAACCTCCTTTCTGTGACCTCTCCTCTCCTCTCATCCCCTCTCCTCTCCTCTCATCCCCTCTCCTCTCCTCTCTTCCCCTCTCCTCTCCTCTCTTCCCCTCTCCTCTCCTCTCCTCCCCTTCCCATCATCTCTCTCTACAGGCCCTTCTTCTGCCAGTCTCCCTGCTGCTCTTCTCGCACCCGCCCTTCCACTCCTCCCTCTCCCTCCAACCATCACCATCGCCAGGGAGAGCCACGCCCGAGCAGCTCATACCTCGCATCGCCACTGCCATCGGCCTAAGCTACTGCGGTGAGGTACACCCCCTAGTTCCCCCCTCTAAAACCCTCCCGCTTTGGCTCCATCAGCCCTTCTGTCACTCACTCCCAAGCCATTTCTTGTTCTTCTACCGTCTCTCTCCCACCTCCCTTCGCCCCACCCACAAGTTGCTCTGGCTGCACTGCACCTCTCATTGCCACGGCCTTCCATGCTCCATCCAACGCCGCTTGCCAAGCGCCTCATAAACAGACCCCCTCTCCCCCCTCAACCCCCCCATCACCCCACTCGCCCCTCCAGGTGCTCTGGGTGCAGCTCTCTTTGCCACGGCCTTCGGTGCTCCCTCCAATTGTGCTGGGGCTACTCTTTAGGCGCCTCATAGGCAACCCCCCTCACCCCCCCCCCTATCACCCCACTCGCCCGACGCACCAGGTGCCGTGGCTGCAGCTCTCATTGCCACGGCCTTTGGCGCTCCCAGTGCCCTTCAGTGAGTCATTTGTTTCTGGCCGTTTCTTTTCCCCCTCTGATGCCTGCTTAATCTGTTTGAAGCGTTTGAAAAGTTTGAACGCCTCTTGGAACAAGGGCTTTCGCCATCGACCAATCCTCAACCTCCTGCCTTTATCATACGCCACTGTCGCCCATCGTGCTTTACTGCCCTTTTACTTTTGAGTCGACTTAAAAGCCGATCCTCAACCTACTGCCTTCATCATACCCCACCCACTGTCGCCTATCGTGCTTGCCTTAACTGCCCTGCCAGGTCCGTCTCTGTCACCCTCCATTGGTCCTCCCTGTTCTCTCTACTCATCGTAAGTGCCAAAACGTGCCATGTGCTCGGTTGTTTGTCAGCTTTCCCAGCCACTCCTTCCCTCCTCTACCATTCCCAACCCCCCTCTGCCCTTCCCATTCATCATTCCCCACTCCCCTCCTCCCCTCGTTTATTCATCCCTCTCAGGTACTGCCATCCGCGCTTCTCTTTGGCGCCAACTCACATCTTTGGCGGTCTGTGCTACTGCGTTTTAGGTAACATTGCCAGCTCCTCATGCTGTCCCTACCATCATCCTCCCTTTTCTCCTTTTTTCCGTCTCCCCTTATCTCTCCCTTGTTCCGAAACCCTTCCCTTGTCTTTCTCCACCCTTCCCTCTTCCCCCCACCTCACTGCATCCCCCCCTTCAGCCCCGTTTCATTGCCAGAAGCATGTGTGGTGACGTCAGCACATGGAGCAGTGGTGGGGGCATGGATGGGTGCATGGCCCATGCCTCTGGACTGGGAGCAGCCATGGCAGGTGAGTGAAAGAGGTTAGAGAGGGGGAGGAGAGGGGGAGGGGGGGGGAGAGGGGGGGAAAGAGAGCGGTAGGAGAGGGGGGGGGGGCAATGAGAGGGTGGATGCAAGGCCCATGCCACCAGACTCGGAACAGCCAAGGCCGGCGAAGATATTGAAGGGGGGGGGAGGGGTGGGGAGAGAGGGGGGGGGGGGAGGGCTGGGGAAGTAAGGGGGGGAAGGGGGGATGGAGAGTGATATGTGCCGATAGGCCACTGAGGTGAGCGCATGGCCCTGCACTTGGTTGGTCTGCTTCTGTCAGTTGTTGATGCGAAGTTGCTCCCAGCGAATGCTACGGTGCTTGCATCCGATGCCATATGCATCCGATGCCATATGCATCCGATGCCATATGCATCCGATGCCATATGCATCCGATGTCATATGCATCCGATGTCATATGCATCCGATGCCATATGCATCCGATGTCATATGCATCCGATGTCATATGCATCCGATGTCATATGCATCCGATGTCATATGCATCCGATGTCATATGCATCCGATGTCATATGCATCTGATGTCATATGCATCCCATTTACCCCTATCCATCCAGGCGTGGCCAATCTGCAGCACATACGGCATGCTCCTGGGGTTCTTGATCGGCCTGCTTCTACCCATAATTGCTGCATGGTTACTACCAGCGAATGCTACTAGCATCCAATGTCATGTGCATGATGCAGCCCCCCTTTCCCACCCATCCAGGCATGGCCCATCTGCAGCACATACAGCATGCTCCTGGGGTTCTTGATCGGCCTGCTTCTACCCATAATTGCTGCATGGTTGCCACCAACTACGGCCGATCATACTCCATCTCATGTGCATCCCCTTTTCCCCACCCATCCAGGCATGGCCCATCTGCAGCACATATGGCATGCTCCTGGGGTACTTGATCGGTCTGTTTCTGCCACTCATTGCTGCGTGGGTGCTCCCTGCGACTGTCGTGTCGCGGATGTTACATCGCAAAGTGTCGACGGCTTAGGTACTGCTTTCTCTTTTCATACTGTTGTCTAACAGTGTGAAGCATTCCCTATTTGTTACACGCCAGGATATAAATCTGAGCTGTAATCAGAGGTACCATGAAAATATGCGAAACACAATCAAAATAAACTGGGCACACACATATAGGGTCTAGTCAACCTCATAACCCCATGGAAAACTGCCCAATTCAAGAGAGGTAAGGCCATTGATCAATGACCATCTCCACAAGCATAACACACACACTACGTTACTAGTCTCAGCAGCCCATGGACACCTGGCATCATTAGGCAGCAGCAGCAGCACTCAGCAGAAGCACCCAGCAGCAGAACCCAGCATCTTCGAAGGTACCAGCAGCAGAAGGACCAGCAACAGCAGAACAGGGGCGAACAGATGGGATGGCTGATGGGAGCATACAGCAGACCACTGATGGCTGAGGTGGATTATCTACAGGATGCCAGCACAGCACGATAGAATCTGGGAAAGCGCCGCTGAGTACAGCACTGCAAGAGGAGCACCAGCCGGAATGGTGATGGCTCATGCGCATTGTTGAGGCACACCTACAGGCGGTTTGTTACACTCTCAACGCTTAGAAGAACGCCGGCACTATCTGGGAAAGGCCAGCAGAGTAGAGCACAGCCAGAGCCGCGCCAGCGGGAATTGTGATCGCCCACGAGGCAGCAATTTCCGCCAGGACCTCCCCCCGAACTCCCCCGCTCCCCCCCTGCGCCAAACCCACCCCCATCACCGCCCCCACCAGCGTATGCGTTGCCGAAACTGGTAACCCTAGTCGCGACGCCAGAACCACCACCGACGCTGCTGCGAATTCCGCTGCGAATCCGCGAGTCGGGGTGATTTCGGTGATTTTCCCGCCGATTGTCGAAATCACCTGGTAACCACACACGAGTAACCCTGCCACGATCCCAAACCCACCCCACATAAGAATGTGCGTAGTAGGCGCAGCAGCAGCAGCAGCAGCACCAGCGACAGCAGCAGCATCCGCAGCTGAACCAATCGCATCAGGGGCTGTAGCGGCAGCGGCGGAAGTAGAGAGGATCGAGAGAGCAGCGGCGATGGGGCCGATGGCGTTGGCGACGTCGTTAGAGCCATGGGCGAAAGACATGAAACAGGCAGATAGCACCTGGAGATACCCGAAAATGGAGTACACTGTCCTTAGTTGCTCCCCCTTTGGCTCCGCCCCGCTTCCTGCTGCTGCTGCTACTGCTGGTCTAGAGGTTTGCCTTTTGTTCAGCGAGCTAAGAGAATCGCTTAGATGCTTTAATTGGCTCCCAACCTGTCTCTCCATAAAGAGGGAAGCGACACCCGCGGCCACTGTACCCGCCGCGAGAGATTCCAACGCCGCTGGCAGAAACGCGGCGTCTCCAGTGTATAACGAGGACAACGAAAACGCGGACACGCCCAAACCGACGAGGTACGGAGCGGCGCTGGACGCGGCGTGGGCAGGCGAATCAGCTTCGTAAACAAATTTCTGAATTGCGGTGTAGATACTGTACGCTACAGTGGCACCGAGAACAGGCGAGAGCACCCAAGACGAAGCCACGTGGGAAAGGGACGACCAGCAAACCGCGTCGGCGCCGCCGTAGATGAAACCGAACCCCACCATCGCGCCGACGATGCAGTGCGTGGTCGACACGGGCCAGCCGAAATGCGTCGCGATCTGGATTGAGACACGGGGAGGGGCGAGGAGGTTGGTATGAGTGGTGCCCTTATGGTAACCTTTGCGTTACTGTTATGAATAACAGGCCCCTGTTGCCATAGTGTTCTAACTGTCTGGTAGATTCCGATGGAGTTTAGAAGAGGAGTTCCGATGGAGGGGAAGCGAGGAGAAGCCAGAGCATTTCGTTTTTCTTTTCTTTTCCCCTTCTTTTGTTGTAGGTATTTGACGATCCATAGGGGAGGGGGCGGGGAGGGGGCGGGGAGGGGGAAGCGGGAAGGGCAGAGGGGAAAGCGAAAAACAAACGCCAAGAAAACGGGGTCGTACCTGTAGCCACGTGCCGGCAGCAGCGAGCGACGAAACCATCCCCGTAAACAGCAGCGGCTGGTCGTTCACGAACACCCCCGGGTCGATGATCCCCGTCTGCATCGTGTCGCTCACGTGCGACCCGACGAGCATCGCGCCGCCGAACTCCAGAACCCCCGCAACGAGCACCGCGGTGCGCATCGACAGCGCGCCGGACCCGACCGACGTGCCCATGGCGTTCGACACGTCATTCGCGCCGATGTTCCACGCCATGTAGAATCCGATCATCGCCGTCATATACGCTAGCACGTTCGTCTGCAGCGGCGCGTCGGGGGAGAGAAACCCCAAGAAGAACGGCGCGGCTAGGGCGGACGCGCCGATCGCTGCGACCATCGCGCCGGCGGTCACGGGGGAGATTTCCAGCGCTTGCGCCATGCTCTTTGCGCCGATCGCCGCGGAACGCGGAGCTCCGGCGGTGGGCTCGCGGATGGAGTCACCGAGACCGATTGATAGCCCATCCGGAACAGGCACGGCGACGGCGATCGCGGTGGGCTCTCCGCGCAGCACGGCGGCGCTTCCGCTACTCGCACGCGCCTTGGCGGAGCGCTGCCTTTGCGCCTTCGTCGGCTGCGCGCGGGGCGGGCGCGGGACTGCGCGGGGGGGGACTTTCACGGGGGACCACGCGGAGTATTCCCCCGCGCCGCCTGTCTTCCCGTCTTCGAGGCGGAGAACGCCTCCCCACTTTTGCGCGCTCTCGTCGATACGCGACGCGCGATTGTGCGAATGGTGCGCCGCGGAAGGCGCAGTCCGTCGGCTCCGCCGGTGCGTGCGCGCACAGTGAGACTGGCCGAGCGGCGCAAAGTGCAAGGCGGAGCGGCCCAGCGAGTGAGAGAGCGGGGTAGAATGAAGCGAGCTTAGTGGAGGAGCCGATATAGCCCCTGCTGTGCTCGCTGACGCCATCTTCGGTAGTAAAAACCGCGTCGACGCGGCTGGTCAGGGGCACAGGGTTAGACGCTGGTCAACGACAGCGGTTCTAGTTAAACGCTGTGGTGTTTCAGCATGGGATAAGAGACTAATGTAGAGACGCAGGTAGGCGAGCAGGCTTGCGCTTTTTGCTGAAAGCACGGACTTCCCGAGGGATAAACGAAGTGCACGGAGACGGTTTTGGGGCAAATGCGAGCAAGCTGGAAATCCGAAAATCGGGAACTGGTGGCGCGAAATCGCTGTAGTTGGGGCCTGGCACGAAGTGTGGCAGGCTGTGGAGCAGGGAAAGCGAGGGCGAGAAATGGCGAGCGGTTGGTTGGGGAAGCTGGAGCAAGCAGAGGGGTCAGGGAGCGAATGAGAATCATTCGTTGCTCCGAACCGCGTTAGAGGGAATCTCTGAATTCAAGCTGTTCTATTGGTCAATGAGAATCTGAAGCCGTATAAACACCGCGCGGTTTGCTGACATGGTGGGCAACGGCGACAGTGTGAGAGGGAGCCTGGGATTGACTGGTACACGCAAGAGGGAATCTCCCTGAGACCTGGAAGGAATATTTTTCTTAGGTGCACACGTCAGGGGAATGAGGTTATGTGGTCCCGCGGCCAGGAGATTTGGGCCACTTGTCGGGCGAAACTCTATGGGCTGGGGACCTCTAACAACAAACCGCAGTCGGATGAAAGCTATGGTTGTGGTGTGGTAGTTTGAAAACTTCTAGTTTTGCCATGCACGTACCATAGCATGCGAAACTTTGCTGTGCTGGCTGGATATTATATTTTCCATCATGCCCAGATTGGGATATTCACCTCGAGTATATTCTAGGACCCTGGCTCTGCGAATCCCAAGCACTCAGTGACACGCAACCACATCCAGCAACGCCGTTCGACACGTGGTTCAACCGTTTCCGTCCTCGATATGCGGATTCCCCAGCACATGCTGAAAGCGGGAAGAAGTGCCATGCCTTACCAATCTTCTTAGACAACAAAAATTAATGTCATCTCGAGGACATGAACTCCATACCCTTGCGAACATCTTCCTTTATTAGTCTTGCAGCACGCTCAACCTCTTGCTCTTCATGACGGCTTAAGTCCCCGAGTGGAAACACTTCTTCCACCCCTTCCTGACCAAGCTGTACCTGCAATTCCAATGATATGATCTTAGGTGTCAGGTATGGGAAGACCCAATGCAACGCCTAAAAGATGGTGCCATGGAGGTTGGGAGGATCGGGAAGGCTGCATTTGTTAGGTATATGCAGACGTGTTGCCACCATGTTTTGTACCAGACTGCGCTACTGTCGGGAAAGAGTGATTTTCCTCCACAAATCATGTGATGGTGTGGTAGAAAAACATACCTTCGAAGCAAAAAATGGTGCATCTGTAACAGTTGAGGCCACGTAGGCATACTCCATAACAGCTTCCCCATTTAGAGCCTTCAGAAGCGAGTTTGTGAAGGCGGCAGCCGCAAAACTGTGGAATGCGGGTCAAAGTGCACGTGCAGAAAGGCTAAGTGAAGTTACTTGGTGAACAGGCCACAGCAGAGCACAATCCAGCGTAGAGAAAACCCCTGTAATGAACCCCCAGTATTGAATGCAAAACCCCCAAAACGGCGACGAAAACAGGTGCACAAGTCATAGTGGGAGGAGGGTTCGCCAAGTCACAGAGGATTAGTTGACTCAGCAGTGGTGTGGGACGTACGCTGGTGCCATGATGGCTGAGCCTTTGCCGTCCTTGGCGCTGATCACTTGCATGCCGCACTCTCCCACCCGCTCCTCCTCACGCAAGGAGGAGTGAAGCGATCTAGAGGAGTGGTGTGCGGTAAGAGGAGGTGCAGTGGGGGACGTACGCTGGTGCCATGATGGCTGAGCCTTTGCCGTCCTTGGCGCTGATCACCTGCATGCCGCACTCCCTCACCCGCCGCACCAGCCTCGCCCGCTCCTCCTCAGACAGGGAAATGGCCGGCGTGGCCTGGAGGAGGAGCGGGGGGGAAGGGGGAGCAGGGGGGGGGGAGGGAGGGGAAGGCACGGAAAGAGCTGAGTGGAGTGGCTTTTGATTGGTCACAGGAGTCAGCAGTGTTGCATCTTATGTCTGATAAAGAAAGATGGTCCGAGGCACGGCAAAGCACGGCAAACGCAGCTGAGGCATTGACGAGTACTTATTACGCACTTGCGAGAATAGAGGAACGATTGTGCTGTCTCGGTTGCCTCCAACCACAGGCACAAACAGGTCTGAGATTGACAAGCAGGAGGTGGATAAGCAGACAAGAAAGAAGGAGAGTGGCCAAAAAGGCTGGAACAAGAAAGAAGGCAGCAGGCGGAAGAAGGGGGGGTGAGAAAGCCACCAAGCTGGCACATCCCCTCACAGATTACCCATTCATTTCAAACCCTTCCTCCCATCCTCTTCTTCCTGCAATGTCCCCATCGTATTTCCCTCATCTCACGTTATCCCTCCTCCGTTCTCCCTCCTCCGTTCTCCCTCCTCCGTTCTCCCTCCTCCGTTATCCCTCCTCCGTTTTCCCTTAACCTTCATCCCCCCCCTCCATTCCCTTTCACCCCTCACCTCTCCACCTCCCACCCACCCCATCCTCCCCCCTCCCCTCCCCCCCTCACTCCGCAGTCCCCCCCAACCTCTTCCCCCTAACCCTCACCCGGCATTTTCTCAATCCCGTTCTCACTCACCTGTGCCCTTCAGCCACGTTGTCTCTGCCAGCAGAGTCCTGGTTCGCATTGTGTGCAGAGACGATGTCTCCAGCAACTACCCCGCCTCAAATTTCCCCTGCTCTAGCCCTTCACTCCCCCCTCTCCCCGTTCCCCTCTCTCCCACCCTGCATTCCCCTCTCTTTCACCTGTACCCTTCAGCCCCGTTGTCCCATCCAGCAGAGTCCTGGCTCGCATCGTGTGCAGACAGAGACGTGATCCCCAGCAACTGCCTCCTCAGGTGGCACTTACCGGCTCTTCTGCTCCCCCCATTCATCTCCCTCTCTCTCACCTGTGCCCTTCAGCCCCGTTGTCTCAGCCAGCAGAGTCCTGGCTCGCATCGTGTGCAGAGACGTGATTCCCAGCAGCCTCTTAGGCTCGTACTTCCCTGCTCGCGCCATGGCCTCTGCTGCTATGGGCACCGTGGCGTTCAGGGGGTTCGTGATCAGCCCTATCTCGGCCTGAGATGAGTGAAACGACAGGGGACGAGGAGAGGAATGCAGTGGGGGGCGTGGGGGGCGTGAGGAAGCGCGATTCCCAGCAGCCGCCTTGCCTTGTACTTCCCTGCTCGCGCCATGGCCTCTGCTGCTATGGGAACCGTGGGGTTAAGGGGGTTTGTGATCGCCCCTATCTCGGCCAGAATCAACGAAAAGGAAGGGGAGAAGGAGGAAGTCGAGGGGCGTGATTCCCAGCACCCGCTTCGCACCAGGACTGTGTGTGGCGACTAATCTACATGCCCCCCGGATGATCCCCGCCTTCGCGTTGAAGCGATCTCCGTCGGCACGGCAAGCCTGCAAATCGAGATGTCTCGAAAACTTACCTCGGGACAATGCTTGGCGATTGACTCGCAAAAGAAACGCTCTTGCACCACATTCATATCTTTTCATGCCTCTATTTTTGAGGCGCCTTAAAAATAGACTCCTCACACAATGCTTGGCGATTGACTCGCAAAACGCTCTCACACCACATTCATGTCTTTTTGTGATTCTCGCCGGTCACGAACCAGCGGTACGGCTCCCCCGCCAGCACCAGCACCAGCACCAGCACCAGCACCAGCACCACGCACCCTTACCTCTGGGCTGTGCTTAGCAATAGACTCGCAGAGTCCCCTCACAATCCCTGCATTCAGATTGAAAAGGCCCCTGTCCTTCATGGACGAGTGGTACAGCACTCCCGCAGCTTGAGACAACTCACTCAGAAGCTCTTACCTGGGGACTATGCTTGGCAATTGACTCGCACATGCCTCTAACGATCCCTGCATTCATATTGAAACGGTCCTCGCTTTTCATCGATGAGCGGTACGGCACCCCTGACAGCACCAGCACCACGAATCATTACCTTGGGGCTGTGCTTGGCAATGGACTCGCAGAGTCCCCTCACAATCCCAGCATTCATGTTGAAACGATCTCCGTCCTTCATGGACGAGCGGTACGGCACCCCCCCCAGCACCAGCAACAGCACCAGCACCAGCACCAGCACCACGAGTCCTTACCTCTGGGCTGTACTTGGCGACGGATTCACAGAGCCCACGGACAATTCCAGCATTCATGTTGAAGCGGTCTACGTCCTTCATTGACGAGCGGTACGGCACTCCTGCCAGCACCAGCACCACGTCGGACCCCCGCAGCGCTGTCGGCAACTCGTACGGCCCGAGGTAGCTGCTGACCTGTCAGGAAGATGAGAGGGAGAAAAGATGTCTGCTTTGACCTGTCAGAACAATGGCGGAATGGTAAGTGAATAAGGGAGCTAGGATGCGTTTTGCAGGGAATTATTCTCCGCTAACGAATTCCTCGCTAAGAAAATCAGACGTGCTCGCAGCGAAGATCGGAAAATCACGAGTGAAATGGGTACACTATTTGTGTGGGATTCAGTGACGACCAATCACCTTGGTTCGGGTGCAGATATGGCTGAGGTCAGCTGCTACGCCAGGCATGCCCGTGACGTCATACAGAGCCAGATCCGTTACTAGCGGATTCATTTTTAGCAACAGGCTCAGCGGATTGCCGATACCGCCAGCCGCTCCCAGAACCGTCACTTTCCGACGTGGCGGTGCTGCTGACGTGGACATAACTCGCCGGAAGAAGGGAAGAGATCTACTAACAACTGTCATGATGAATAGTTGGTGCTGGTGGGTCTACGAATCAAAATGGCTGGCTGGAATCTGGCCGCTACTGATTTCCAAGTTGGGAAGTCGCCAATTTACAGAAACTTTATTGAAGAATCTCGAGCCCGTGGGAACGAGCTAGTTCGACAAATGTGATCGAAGCCGAAACGCCGTAATGAGCGACGTTGAAGAGGCCCTGGAAACACGGAGCACACTGACGAGCTCCGTTAGGGAATGCCGTGCGGATAGCACGGAACAGGAATGCGCGCAGAAAGCGGTGAAGGGTGAAAATGAGGCTGGATAAGTACAGTTCATGAGAGCGCGGTATTAAAGTTTTCAGCGCGTTTCCTTACGTCTTAAAAACGGTTCAGTACGCTTCACAACTTCCCCTTACATTCCACTGGGATCTCGAAAGCGAGAATCCACTAGGCCCCCAAGGACACTCCAATTCGTGAGTGGGGCACCCAGCAAGAATCGGTGGTAGGTGGGTACAGCAGTATACTGTACATGGCGAAATGTTCTGGCGACAATGCTGAGTCACCCAGATTCCAGGGCGTATGCTAGCGCTAATTGGATGGCTTCCGACCTTTAAGACACTTGGGCATATTTGACTGGCAGGCAGTACTACTGGGGGCTGAAGCGGGGAAGGCAGGACTGCATCAGGTGCTTTCGCTTTCAAACGGGTTCGGTTCAGGCAGACAGCACTCTCGCTGTACCACCTCATTACCACATTACGGTAAATGCCTGTTGGAACAAGTGGCCATCCAGCTCAAACAATCTAAATGAACGCCATGTGGATTTTTGGCCAAGATTCACCTTAGAAAGTATAATCATAATTCATAACTAAAAAAATATAAAGCTATTTGTGATCTGAAACCACCGTACGCCCCCTTTCTAGCAAATGTTCATAACATATGTTCATGCCATACACATTTATAAGATGTTGAAATGAGTGAAATGTGCATCACTTGCGTTGTGCTTCAGCAGCACACACAGCTGACTGCCCTCGATAAGCGCCCTGCCACGTGGTTGGACAGATCCGGCCACTTCATCACGTCGCAATCTCGAAAAGCATCCCTTTTACAGTTAGACGGTGAGATCTTGCGATCGCGGTTTTGAAACCAAGATGTGACCTGTCGCACGAGTCAACTGTCGTGGAATTCATCGCCCCGCCTGTCTCCCAAGAGGTTGGCATCGTTATCGCTTCATCTGACGAGAATATCAATGGCCAGGAGACAATCACTGTCGGCCTCCCGTCATCCAACCGTCAGCAACGCCCGTCGTCAATTCCTGGCCATTCCCCTTCCCTCGATCTCTCCACCCCTCTCCCGCCTCAGATTGAACAGCTCTTCGGAGCTGCGGTTAAAAGAGGTGTAAGCACATCAAGGCACCATACTCAACCAGCCTTTAACTTAATAGCAACGTTATTAAAGACTTGTAACCGATTGACACCGTACTGGACAAACCGAAAGCACTCTTACCCCCCCTGACACACCTTACCTTGAGTGTTCTGGGCTCTTGGGTTTGCCGAACCTCCCCCTTCCTCTCAGTCTTGGACCAAGTCCCTTCCCTCTGTTCTGCTGCTCGTCCTCTTGGCAACCCCCCTTTCCTCTGGGGTTCTTTTGCCACCGATATTTTCAGCGAACGAGACCCACAGATCGTTCGCTGATTCACTGATCCAGCGAGTAGGGCCTGGGAATTTCACACGGCGGGACTGGGGATCTAGTTGACTGGTTACCGATTCTGTCCACAACCACAGTGCCGAACTCCATCTCGTTCTGAGTGTTACGCTGCTAGACACTGGGATGGAAGCCATGTCGGTCTGTTCGCCGATCCGTGCTGCCTCGCAGCTTCCCGCCGTGCGATCCCTTCACGGCGACGCTCTCGGACAATCCCTAAAAAGCTCCAATTCCGTCAGCCTACCAATTCCCAAGGCTCTTTCAGCCGGTCAGATCCTGCCAGCTGGCACCGGTCCTCAGAAGCTGCAGATTCAGGCTAAGATCCTGAAGACTAAGAGAGCACCCAGGGATCCGGACTACCCGTGGCCCGATAAGTACAATGCCGAGGAGAAGGGGTTTCTTGCGTTCCTCTCCAAGTTTAAGGACGTAGCCAAGCCGGCCAAGCCCATGGCGCTGCCTTTCGAGAAGCCGCTGGTCGATCTGGAGAAGAAGATTGACGAGGTAGGGAGATTATAAGTCTTGTACGCGACGTAGATTTGCCTGGGGATTTGCTGCCGCTGAACCTTGAACATCCATAGGCCTCGAGAACCTCGAAAACGTATTTCATGTTTAAATGTTTCCGCGACGACTGGGTCCACCCTCCTTTTCAAACGGCTTCACGGATTAACTGACAGATCGCAGCCGTATGTTCCGTGCCTTGAGAGAATTACGGCTGAAATTATATCCACCCGTCATCACACGGCCGTCCGATTACTTCCTCTCACCACTGCTCCCATCATTTTCCTGTGAATCTGCATGTATGCCTTCGCCAGGTGCGCCAGCTGGCGGATAAGACCGGCATGGACTTCACGGACCAGGTGCAGGAGCTGCAGGACAAGTACGAGCAGGTGCGACCTTTGAAACCTGTTGGAATTGTAATTTGGAAAGAAATTTTGGAATGGCAACAGGATCGTCGGCTCGTCAAGCAGCCGCGCTGTCCCCTCCCCATACTGGCGTTGGAGGGTGCCGTGGTTTTTCCGTGGTTTTTTGTTTTGTTTTGCTTTGTTTTGTTTTTTCAAGGTCCACTTATTGCGTTCTGCCAATCTGTTACATGCGTGCATTGCACTGAGTCGCGGTTCCTACCCTCCACCTTCCTCGTCACCCACCATTCCCCTTTCCTCTCCGTCTGTGTGTCTCTCTCTCCCTCGCCCGCTGTCCCTCCGTTCCTCCAGCTGAAGCGCGACATTTACGAGAGAATAACTCCGGTTCAGCGGCTCAGCGTGGCGCGTCACCCCAACCGTCCCACCTTCTTGGACCACGTCCTTAACATGACCGACAAGGTATGTCAGTCCCTCGTAGAGGCGCCTCAGAAATCGTCACCCCAACCGTCACCCACCGTCACCCCATGACCGACAAGGTAGGCCAATCCTCGCTCTCGCTCAGTGTTCTCTCGTTTAGCGTCTCTCTGAGCGTGCGTACAGCCGACGCTTCTCTGAAAGTGGGCTGATTTTTTAGTCGACTCAAAAATCACCAAGGTAGGTCAATCCTCGCTCTCGCTCAGTGTTCTCTCGTTTAGCGTCTCTCTGTGCGTGCGTACAGCCGACGCTTCTCTGAAAGTGGGCTCGTCCATCCTCGTCCGCGTCTTTCCGCATCTCTTTTCCCGATGCTCATGCGCATGCTCTGCGTATCTCTCGTGCTTCCGCTCTTACCGTTGTCCTCCGTATACCCCTCCCTCTGCCCCTCCCTCTGCCCCTCCCTCTGCCTCTCGCTCGCTCGCGCGCTCGCCTGCTCGCTCGCGCTTTCGTTCGCGCTTTCGTTCGCGCTTTCTCTCTTCCCGGATCGTTCTTTTCCTCTTTTTGTCGCTCTCCCCCTTTCCACTTACTCTAGCTCTTCCGCCCCCAGTGGGCGGAACTGCACGGCGGCCGCGCGGGCTGCGATGACCCGTTCGTCCCCCCTTCCGCTCCCCTTTCTCCCCTCTCGTTTTTCCTCTTTGCTTATTCTCCCCCCAGTGGTGGAGCTGCACGTACACCGTGGGGGTTACGCCGATCGGGCGTCTCCTTTCACCCCCCCTTCCCCTTCCACCCATCCCCTGCAGTGGGTGGAACGGCACTGCGACCTCGGGTGCATCTCCCCATCCGCTTCCCCCTCAACTGCTTTCACTTTCCCCTTCTCCCCTCACCGCGCACTATCCTGTCTCACAGTGGGTGGAGCTGCACGGCGACCTGGGGAGCTACGACGACCTGGCATCTCCTTTCATCCCCCCTTCCCCTTCTTTTTCTCCGCTCACCTTTTTCCTCTCCGCGCTCTCCCCCCCCCCACCCCCCTCCGCCGACCCTCCTCTTCCCCCGCAGTGGGTGGAGCTGCATGGCGACCGCGGGGGTTACGACGACCCGGCGCTGGTGTGCGGGATCGGGCGCATGGAGGGCATGAGCTTCATGTTCATGGGGCACCAGAAGGGGCGCAACACCAAGGAGAACATCTACCGCAACTTCGGCATGCCCACGCCCAACGGGTGAGACCCGAATGGGATGGGTTGGGTTGGGTTGGGTTGGATTGGATTGGATTGGGCTGCGTTGGGAGTGCGGGGGATTCCCGACGCCTGCTGTTGACTTTTTGCTGCGCATGATGCGCCACGCGCGTTTCTATTCACGTGACTCCTCCCCACCGTCTGTCATCCCCCTGTACCGCCCCTTGCCATCCCAGCTACCGCAAGTCCCTGCGCATGATGCGCCACGCGGACCACCACAAGCTGTACCTGCTCTTACGACCCCTCCTTCCCCTCCCCCCCTCGCGACTCCCCTCCCCCTACCTCCCATTCCCCCCCCGACGTCAGCTACCGCAAGGCGCTGCGCATGATGCGCCACGCGGACCACCACGGGCTGCCCATCATCACGTTCGTCGACACGCCAGGCGCTTATGCTGGCGTCACGGCGGAGGAGCTCGGACAGGTGAGCGAGGGTGTTGTAGGTGGTGTAGGGTGGGTGGTGTAGGGTGGTGTAGGGTGCACTGAGCGTTGTAGACAGGAGGTGAGAGGGCGTTTTTGGGCAGCAGGTCACGTGGTAGCAGGTCAGCAGGTCACGCGGATCACCACGGGCTGCCCATCATACGTTCGTGGACACGCCTGGCGCTTATGCTGGCGTCACGGTGGAGGAGCTCGGACAGGTGAGCGAGGGTGTTGTAGGGTGGTGATAGACAGGTGAGAGGGCGTTCTTGGGTGGTATGGACAGGTGAGAGGGCGTTATAGGGTGGTATAGACCCTGTGATGCCTATGATGCGTCACCACGGGCTGCCCATCATCACGTCACGTTACTTAATCACGTCACGTTGGTCGACATGCCTGGCGCGTATGCTGGCATGGCATGTCAGGCATGTCAAGCATGCCATGTCAGGCATGTCAAACATGCCATGTCAGGCATGTCAGGCATGTCAGGCATGTCATGTCAGGCATGTCACGGTGGAGGAGCTCGGACAGGGGAGGGCATTTTGAGATAGTAAGCACCCATGCTTATGATGCGTCATGCAGACCACCTGGGTCCTCGGGTAGTATGGTGAGAGGGCATCTCTGGGCATGATAAGGCCCGCTTATGGCATGGCTCTTAACCCTGCCATCTTCGCGCCACCCCCCCCCCCCCCTCCCCCCCCCCTTCCCTTTTTGCTACCCCATCACCCCACCTCGCCATTCCCTCCCAACCCGCCACCCCTTAGAACTCCCTCACCCACCTTATATAATCAAGGCAAGGCGATCGCGCACAACCTGCAGGAGATGTTTGGGCTCAAGGTGCCGTCCGTCAGTGTGGCCGTGTTTCTTACACTTCCCTTCCACTCATCCCCTCCCCCTCACCGCACGCACCCCCCCCCCCGCCCCCCTCCCTCTCCCCGCCCCCTCCTCCCGCCCTCCCTGTATCACCAGGGCGAGGCGATCGCGCACAACCTGCGGGAGATGTTTGGGCTCAAGGTGCCGTCAGTCAGTGTGGTGATTGGTGAGGGCGGCTCTGGTGGCGCCCTCGCTATTGGCTGCTGCAACAAGATGCTCATGCTCGAAAACGCAGTCTACTTCGTTGCCAGGTACGCCGTAGTTCCCTTCGCGCTGCTGAACTCGCTATTGGCTGCTGCAACTTCGTTGCTCCAACTTTTGGGAAAGAGATCACAAAGAAATTCTCAGCCCTAAGCCATGTGCAAGCCCCTTGTTTGTGTGTGTGCGCTTCTGTGCATGTTTGTCTGCGTGTATGTGCGTGTGGGTCTGCATGTGTGTGTGTGTGTGTCCATGTGTGTGTGAGTGCATGTGTGTGCATGTGCGACTGTTCCATCCTTCCTTCAGTCCCGAGGCATGTGCTGCCATTCTCTGGAAGACTGCAGCTGCTGCTCCCAAGGTGAGCGAATGTCCATGTCTCATTTTCGTGTTGGCTGTGGCGTATCATCTGTGGTTCACTTCAGCTGGCACGCACATGAAAGAGAGCTCGTGAAAGAGAGCTCGTGAAAGAGCCCGTGAAAGAGCCCGTGAAAGAGCCCGTGAAAGAGCCCGTGAAAGAGAGCTCGTGAACGAGCCCGTGAAAGCGCCCGTGAAGGAGCCCGTGAAGGAGCCCGTGAAGGAGCCCGTGAAGGAGCCCGTGAAAGATCCCGTGAAAGAGCCCGTGAAAGAGCCCGCGAAAGAGCCCGCGAAAGTCCGCAGCTGAAACATTGCATATTCTTCCTTGCTCGTGAAGCCAACCTGACGCAGAGAACCCAAACGAGTTACCACCAACCATCACTCCCGCTCGCCACGGACCAATCGACGGACATCCGTCTCACTGCAACTTGCTTCCAGACAAGCCACCTTGGAGTCCATGATCTCTTTGCGTATCCTCTGCCATTTTGAAAACCCTTATGCCATTTGGGCCGCTTGCAGTCCAATTCCACCTCACTCGCTACCTCCCTCAACCTCTTCTCCCCATATCCCTGCCTCCCCCCACTCCTTCCTGCCGTTTCTCGTTTCTCTCATGGCTTCTCTCGTGCCTCTTCCTCCACACTTCTCCGCACCAACCAGGCCACGGAGGCGCTTCGCATCACAGCGGATCAGCTGCAGAAGCTGGGAGTGGTGGACGAGATCATCCCGGTATGTCTCGCTCTCACACTCGCTCTCATGCTGTTATAATATATGGCTGATGGCTTCTGAGTCGACTCAGAAGTCACGCCAGCTGCAGAAGCAGGGAGCGGTGGACGAGGTCATCCCAGTGCTTTGCCACTTGCTCCGATGCTGTCGTTCAGTCATCGTGCTTCTTCTCCTCGGTTTCCTGCTTACTGGTTGCCGTTTTTCAGATAACTTTCAATATGCACGCACCGTCTTCCTTCTCCTCCTACCATTGCCCATCCCCTGTTCCCCCCTCCGCCTACGCCTCCCATCCTCCAAATTGCCTGCCTCTCTTTCCCGTTCCCTCCCCCCCCCGGCCCCTACCCTCCTCCCCACCCCCACTCTCTTTGGCTCGTCTCATCAACCGCACTCGTCTGTCTGTCCTCCCTTGCTCTTGCTGCACACCTGCCTTTTCTCGCTCCCAGGAGCCCCTTGGAGGGGCGCATAACGACCACATGGCCACATCGCTGGCAATCAAGTCCGCCATCATGGCGCACATGAAGGTGAGACTTTAGGCTTTTGCGGAGAGGCATGGCATGTGGATGGTTGTAGTGGCATGCATTCAGCTGGCAGTGGCGCACAACGACCACATGGCCACATTGCTGGCAATCAAGTCCGCCATCATGGCGGCGCACATGAAGGTGAGGCTTGTGGTCTGCATGAGATGGTTGGAGAGGGGCATGCACATGGCATGCACATGGCATGCACATGGCATGCATACCCCTTGAATTGGAGGGGTGCACAGTGACCACATGTCCACCTCTCACTGGCAATCAAGACTACTACCATGCCACACATGAAGGTGAGAGAAGGGTGGCATGGCATGCAGATGGTAGCAGAAGAACCAACCCTTTTTTCTCTCCCAAGCAGGAGTTGGTGAGACATCGCAAAACCTTCGTTTTTCCCGCCATTAATTCTCCAATTGCCATTTTTCACCATCCTTTTCCCCACCGGTTCCCCCATGATTTTTCCGAGCAGGAGCTGGTGCAGAAGAACGAACAGCGGATCATCTGTGAGCGCATGGGCAACGAAGTGAGGCTATTTTTTCACCTCTCACCTTGCAACTTAATCCCCCCTCAATCCCCCCCACCCCCACCCCGAGCAGGATCTGGTGCAGAAGGACGAGCAGCGGATCATGTGTGAGTGTGTGGGCAGCCAGCTCGAGCTATTCTCTCACCTTGCTCCTTGCATGTTATCCTCTCCCCCCCACCCTCCCCCCCCCCCCCCCATTTTTTTCCCATTGTTTACCCCTGAGCAGGATCTGGTGCAGAAGGACGAGCAGAGGATTATCTGTGAGCGCGTGGGCAAGTTCCGGCAGATGGGCGGCTTCACCGTGCCGCCCAAGGTGGACCCCGCCAGGCAGCGCGCGCTCAAGAAGCGCGACCGCCCCGCTGGCCAATCCATCCCCGCCTCCCCCTCCTCCACCCCCTCCTCCACGGCTGCCTCTGGTTCCTCGTCCCTGGGTTCGCCTTCTGACAACGGCAATGGCGCCACATACCCGTCGTCGGTTGTGAGCGCGGACGCTGGTTCTAGAAGCTAGATGCTGGGGGAAAGAAAACGCGGCGCGAAGTGAGAGGGTGGAGTAATCACACCGGCAAGGTTCTAGTTTGGCGTTCCATTTCGGTGGGTGCCTGGGAACTAGGCACCTGAAAATCAGCTTAGTAAATCATGCTCTTGGTTACTGATCTCTATTTTATAACACTTCACCTTTTTAGCTTGTATTGCATGCAGCAAGTTCTTTAGTATGTGTTCTTTTGCTTCAGTTGAGAGTGAATCTGCCCTTTGATTTTAAGTAGCTTCAACACGTTGGAATATAGAAGCCTTCAGCTTGGTGCTCTCCGCAGCCACAATCGAGAATTCACCACCTGTACCATGCCTGATAGGCTTGGACGAGGCTTGATACGGTACAGAGGGTTACAGTCTGGTGGAAAGAGCCAAGTTCGGGAGGGGAGGGGATTACAGCGGTCAGTAGTTCACGCATGAACCTTGGGATCATCAAGGATGGAATCAAAAGTTGACTTTCCCCTCTTGTTTGGGGCTGTTCTGAAGTGACAATTCTCCCGTTTTTGGTTTCCGGTGCAGCTCGTTTCGCCGCACTTCTCTGAACTTTCTGAGCGATGCACAGATTTCCAGTACGGTACTTCGAATATCCTTTGGAAGCGCCCCTAGCCCAACCAATCATCGCGTGCTTCACCGCTTATTTCTATATCCTGGGACGAGTTGAAATTTCAAAAATACTGTAGAACTACAGCGTCGGGAGGGGAGGGATTACAAAGCCACTCATTTTGTCATTCTGGTGACCGTTTACTTGACGCTCAAACTGGTCTCATGACGCTCGCGTAGGGCTAACCCGACCGCTGCAGGGCTCAGATGAACCCCCCCCCCCACCCCCCCCCCCGGTCTTTCCTAGTGATAGATTTTGAGAGAATTCCAAAAAACCTATCACGCACGCGTAGGGCTAACCCAGCCCTACCGCTGCAGGGCTCAGACTAACCCCCCGTCTTCCCTAGTGCATACAAGAAGGTCATGCGACGCCAAATGCACGAATCCGGTCGTTCCCCTCCTCGCCTGTTCGCCGCTGGATTCCTCGCCTCACAGTCAGCTGACGGTTCTCTTACTAACGAGGATAACCTGTCATGCAGCAAAGAACTGTCCCTCAGAGCTTCCGTAGTGTCAAGCTTCGAAGCGATTAAAGCTCAGGGTGGAAATGACGAACGGGAGCAAACCACGTGGCGGTTTCTGGTTGGTGGAGGCTGCGGGGCCGCGTTTGCAGGGGATGGTGAGCTGACGTAATTTTTGGGCTCTAGATGAAAGCGCGCGTTAAAAACTGGTGGAATCATTTTGGAAACCAAGCGGAACCAAGTAGCCTTTTCTAACGAAGCTGCTGGTTTTCTGCAAACGTGATTGCGTAGGTTGAAAACTGGTGGGAAAGTTGTTGGAAACCAGGCGGAACCAAATAGCCTTTTCTAATCAAGCTGCTGTTTTTCTGCAAACTTTGACTATTGAGTTGGCTAAAAATGCGGGAGTGTGGATGTGAGTGGTATGGATGTTGATGGCATGGGCATGGGGGGTACCCGGATGGTATGATATAATGTGGGTAGCATGTTGCCTTCAGATGCTGGTTTCCTATGGCAGGTGACAAGGCAGCAACATACGAGACAGCAACATTCGAAACAGCACAGCATAGTGCAGCAGGGTACAGAGTTACCAGAGACCGAGGCGAGGCAAGAGAGAACGGAGGGTGCTGAGTGTGCTGAGTGGAAGGGACCAAGACCTCACTCTCCTGCAGAGGCACAGACCCTGCTCTCCCCTAGAAGGAACGAACCTTCTGTGCGAAACTCTGGAAGAGACAATGGGAATACCCTCCTCTGTGCTGTTCGCTTCTGCAAGCAATCGGCCAATGAGCGCGTGACATGTGGCGAGTGCTCGCAAGACTCTGGTGTCTTCGTATCCAGTGAGTGGCTTGGTGGTGACACGTGGTGAGTTATGGAGGAATGTGGTGACAAGTGGTGAGATGTGGAGGAATGTGGTGACACGTGGTGAGTTGTGGAGGAATGTGGTGACACGTGGTGAGATGTGGAGGAATGTGGTGACACGTGGTGAGATGTGGAGGTATGTGGTGACACGTGGTGAGATGTGGAGGAATGTGGTGACACGTGGTGAGTTGTGCCGTGCCGGTCTGAACATGGTCTTCACCTCAAGACGAAAGGGTGTTCCCTTTTCTGGTGTGAGCAGAAACATTTCCCCTTCCCCTGAAAGCTGCTCCTCAGGACGAATGTTACAGTGGGACGTAACCCCCATGCCTCCAGAGGGACACCCTTTGCAGCTTCCAACCCTGTCTCTCTCTACACCATTGTTCTCACTCTCTCCTGTCCTCCGTTCTCTGCAACCCATGCTCTCTGTTGCTATCTGTGCTATCTGCAGCGTCAGGACGACTCTTGCAGTGGGACGTAACCCCCACCAGTGGGATAGATCTTGCGGCTTCCCCGCCTCCCTGCTACCCCCTTCCCTCGCTCCCTCCTTGGGTCACCGTCACGTCGGTTGCTGTTGGCCTCACACACTGCCTCGCTCTCTCAGGTGAAATCCAGGTGAAATTCCAGGAGGAAACTTAGAGTCTTCTTCGTGGAGTTAGGTTACTCCTCAGGTGCTTGTTTCTTCGCTCCCCTTCCTCATGATGGCTGGCTTGCAACTAGTAGCAAGTGCGTTACAGCGACGCTGACAGACCCCCATGCGTTGCTTGTGGTGAGTCAATCATAATGATCTCTTGAGCGGTCAATCAGAGCCATTCACCGCCCATGGGATATTTTTGAGGCGCCTCAACAAAAGTCAATCAGAGCCATTCACCGCCCATGGGATATTCCTTGTGAAGAGTTCGCAGTTCCGCAAGTTGTGTAAGTATTTATCATCATCACGGTTCCCTCCACCACCCCTCATGCTCCCCGCCCTTCACTCTATGGTGTGCAGGCAGTGGCATGGCATGGTGTGGGCGTGGGGCGAGAGCACGGAGGGGCAGCTGGGGCTTCAAGCCACACACAGACAATACACACATGCGCAACACCACCATTTCTCTCCCCTCTCCTCCCCCCCATTCTATATCTCCTACCGTGTGCAGGCAGCGGCATGGTGTGGGCGTGGGGCGAGGGGGAACAGAGGGGCAGCTGGGAATGGGCAGGCGGGTGGGTGGGGAAGGAGGGGGCCTGCCTTGTGGATATGAGCCTCTGGTACTGTCGTCAAAGAGCCTCTCAACTCACTCTCTCTTCACGCTACCGTGTGCAGGCAGCGGCATGGTGTGGGCATGGGGTGTGGGCACGGAGGGGCAGCTGGGGCTTCAAGCCACACACAGACAAACATACGCGCGCATCCATCCGTCTCTCTCCCCTCTCCTCCCCCCCATTCTATGCGTCCGTCCGTGTGCAGGCAGTGGCATGGTGTGGGCGTGGGGCGAGGGCGCAGAGGGGCAGCTGGGAATGGGCAGGCGGGTGGGGAAGGTGACAGAGCCAGTGTGCGTGCTGCTTCCTGCACTGGCAGCATCCGCTATAAGACCATCCGCTATAAGAGCATCTGCTGTAACAGCATCCACTATGAGACCATCCGCCGTAACAGCATGTGCTTCAAGAGATGACTCGTTACAAGCAACGGCAGTGGCGTGTGGAGGCAGGCACAGCCTCGTGCTGGCAGGTGGGAGAATCCTCTTGTGTTCCTTTTGAGTCGACTCAAATGAGGAGTCTATTTTTGAGGCGCCTCAAAAAAAAAAAAAAAAAAAAAAAAAAAATCCTCTTGTGTTCCTTTTGAGTCGACTCAAATGCTTACAGGTGGGTGGGGGGAGAATCCTCGTGTGTTCCACACACCCTGCCATGCTCTCCCCACACCCTGCCATGCTCTCCCCACACCCTGCCATGCCATGCTCTCCCCACCCCACGCCTGCCTCTTCTGTTCCTCACCCTTGTCCTCTCTGCGAACAGCTTTTCTTCCTTCCTCCTGCTTTCTCTGACCTCTCGTATCCTCCCCCCCTCCCTCCCTCCCTCCCTCCCTCCCTCCCTCCCTCCCTCCCTCCTGCCCCCCTTTATGTGTGGAATTGAATTCCCCCACGTATCTCCCTCTGCCTCTTTCTTTCTTTCTCTCTGTGTCGCTGCAGAGGATGGATCTCTCTTCTCCTTCGGATGGGGCCAATATGGCCAGGTATGGTAGGCATATTCTGAGTCGACTCAAAATACACCGAGACATCCTCGGCTGTTTTGCGGCCCTCGAGCATTTTGAGTCAACTCAAAATACATATGGCCAGGTATGGTATGCGTATTTTGAATCGACTCAAAATATATATGGCCAGGTATATGGTACGCGTATTTTGAGTCGACTCAAAATACCACTGCAGAGGATGGATCTCTCTTCTCCTTCAGATGGGGCCAATACGGCCAGGTATGGCATGCGGGTGTGCTATGGCGTGCATTGCATGCAGGTTGCCATTATCCCCCCCTTCCCCCTCCCTAATCGCCTCCCCCTCCCCTCCCCTTCTCCCCTCATCGTCCCGCCTCCGATCTTTCCCACCCTTCTCTCCCTTATTCACGGCCCCCCTCCACCATGACAAGCAAACACTCTCCCCCTGCAAACCTCTTTCCGTGCCCACTTCCCCCCCACCTTGGTCCTCCTCCCGCCTCCCTTCTCCCCTCGATCGAACCCTCCCAGTGCGGTCACAGCTCGTCAGACGACTGTCGCCCCCTCACGCTCCTCTCTTCCTTCACCCCTCTTTCCGTCACCCCTCTTTCCGTCACCCCTTGTCGCCTGACATCCTCTCAGTGTGGTCATAGCACCTCAGACGACTGCTTGTCCCACACCCTCCTCGCCTCATTTGCCGGCCACACAGTAACGGCCATCGCGGCTGGCCTCTGGCACTCCCTCTCAATCGCCCTTCCCTGTACGCATTTCTCCGCTTCCCCTTCACCCCCCACTGCGTCTTCCCCTTGTGCTCTCAGTGTGGCCACGGCACGTCAGACGACTGCCTCTTCCCCACCCTCCTCGCCTCGTTCACCGTCCTCACACAGTGACAGCCATCGCCGCTGGCCTCTGGCACTCCCTCGCCGTCGCCCTTCCTGCAACCCTCTCTCTCTCTCCCCGCATGTGTCCCTCATTCTTACAGTGTGGTCACGGCACGTCAGACGACTGTCTCTCCCCCACCCTCCTTTCCGCGCTTACCGGCCTCACGGTAACAGCGATCGCGGCTGGCCTCTGGCACTCCCTTGCCATCGCCCTTCCTGCTGGGTCAATCGGTGGTGGGGGTGGTGGTGGGGTTGACAGTGCTGCTGACATGGAACTGGAAGGTGGTGACGTGTACAGCTGGGGAGGGAATCAGTTTGGCCAGCTGGGCACGGGAGACACGGCCGCAAAGGTGTGGACCACGGCTGCTGGTGCTGGTGGTGGTGCTGGTGCTGGTGCTGCTGGTGAACGCCTTATTTCTTGCTGTTGCGCGCTTGTTGAACATCAATGCTTCCTACATCTCGTTTGCAAAGGGGGTGGACTCTACTGCACGACGCACATAGTATCACCCCTGCATCCGTGTGCCCCTATTCCGCCCAGGTGTTTCCATCCTCACTAGACTAGGCTCTCCCAGTCTAGACACTCGCACTGTGAAAGACATCTCCCATCCCCGGTGGAGCAAGACATTTTTGCTGCTATCTCCCTGTGTCCAAGCGACTCTCCTGGATTGCCCAAGTATAGACGCTCACACCGTGAAAGCCATCTCCGGTGGAGCAAGACATTTTGGTGCTATCTCCCTTTCCCCAAACTTTCTTCCCACGTGCGAGCTCCCTCCGCCTCAGGTGCTTCCGACTCTCCTGGATTGCCCAAGTCTAGACACTCGCGCCGTGAAAGCCATCTCCTGTGGAGCAAGGCACTCTGCGGCTGTCACCACTGACGGCACTCTTTTCGTGTGGGGCTCTAACAAGTTTGGCCAGGTGCGTGCGTTGCTTCCTGGTGCATCTGTTTTCGAATCGACTCATATGGGGATGTGTCCACTGGCGGCGCTGTTTTTGTGAGGGCTCTAACAAGTTTGGCCAGGTGTGTGCGTTGCTTCCTGGTGCCTTCCCCCCACTCTCATGCCCGCAGTCATAGAATATATTTTTGAGGCGCCTCAAAAATAGACTCCCCACTCTCATGCCCCCAGTCATGGAATCCATATACCATTTCAATCCCCATGCACACACCGCTGCGGACAATGGACTTGCCCATCATATCTGCTCTTTCTCTGCATGTTTCCTTTCCTTGGATGTGGCGCCAGCTTGGCATTGGCCATAAGGATGATGCCTATTCCCCTCAGATGGTTGCAAAGGATAAGTTTGATATAAACGGCTGTGGTGATAATGAGAGCGCCGGTGATAAAAAACTGGAGCATGCCCGTGAAGTGTTCGTGCAAGATGCAAAGTGTGGTTGGTGGCACACCCTTGCCATTACTAGGGGCACTGTCAAGAGCCTGAATAATGGATGACATGTCTAGCTAACTTTATTTTGGTTTGATGCTAATTGAATTTTTGCCCTGGCTCTGCACCTTGCTGATTGGTCGACGGGCTTGTCCTATCAAGGTGGCGAAGAGCAATCCGCCACTCAGCAAATCCCAAAACGCTGTCCCGCTCACCACACAAGGGTGCTGACGTGACGTTGCTTCAATTGCAAGCTTGTGATTGGGTAGTTTTAGCTTCTGGTTGATAATGCGAATGCTGGCGAAGTAAACACACCATTCAGAGCCGAGATTGTAACAACCCGACACGTCAAGTTCCGTGAACTTCACGTCTGCAAATCGAAAGCCTGGAGCCAGGGGAAGGCAGGAGGTTCACCGTACCAAGCCATCATAAGCAAAACTTCGGCTTCCCATTGGCTCTAAACGTTGCATGAACACGTCATCCCGAACCACCGACATACCCATCTGGCATACTGCTTCAGTCTGCTCGAGCTCTGAACTTGCCGAGACGAATCAGAAGCAGAGAATCTACGTTTGGCCGAGGCTTCAGTACGCTCGGCTTTTCGTTCGGAACCTCTACTTTCATTCTTCCAGCCAAGCAGTTCCTCTGCTTGTGCCAGTCTTGGGTGTGTCGAAAGCAATCACTGCTGGTTGAGTATGGTGCCCTGCGGTCTGGAATGGTTTGCTAGCTCCACCGCTTTGAACCGCTTGCACCAGCCACACCAAATTTTGGAAACTTGTGTTGCGCTGTGGCATTCTTGAGCTAAGAGTCATCATGGCTCCTGCTGCTGCTGGTGTCATGGCGCTGGTACATATAATCCGAACACTGGCATAACAGTTGAAAGCGTGAATGGAATGCAGGAACCTTCGACCGCTCCTACTCTAGAAGCTAGTCGCGGATTTCGTACGGCGGCTGTGTTAGCCGTTTTGGCGTGTTCTTCAAATTCCTTGAGCATAATATAGTATTTTTCAACATTGCAGAAATACCCGAGCCACCATGTTGCTGGTACACGTGGCGGAGAGCGGTAGGTCGTTCGAGCTCCACTGCAGCGCGGACACCCCCGTAGACTCCGTCTGCGAAACCCTAGCCTCCCTAACCGCCATACCTCCCCAGGACCAGCTCCTAATCTGTTGCGACGTGCGCCTCGAGCCCGGGCGACAGCTCGCAGCGTATCAGCTTCCAGATGCTGACGTGGACAGTAGCGTGCCTGACAGAGCAGGCACTGTGGTCAACACGCACTCGCATTCGTCTCGGTGCGCATCTCGCGGACGCTCTCGCCCGGTGTTTCTTTTCAACAAGATGCGCCTCCTTCCGAAATCTCCCCCACCCCCGGTAGAAGAAATCGAAGAGGTAGTCGTTCCAGAAGTGATTATAACGGTTGGTGAGCCTGGCGGCGAGCCGTTACACCCGTTAGACCGGTCGGGTAACCCGCTCCTCCGAGCGATCCCCTCCTACGAGCGGCAGTTTCGCCAGGATCTCTTGCAGGCTCAGGCGTATCTCGCCGCCAGCCAGTCGCGTTTTGACACGTGTCGAAGGCTCCTGCAAGAACAGCACACGCAGGCCGAGGCTGTGCGTTCAGGTTCGGCGAGTATGGAGGCGATGGCCCTCCATATAGTCACGTCGTTTGCGGATTTCCAATCCGCGTATAAGCACCAGCACGGCCGGCACGAGCTCCTGCTGCGAACCTTCCACCGGAACCTCCGCGCGTTGCATTCTTGTCGTTTAGTGGCGCCCGTCCGGGCGGCAACCGGGTGGCAGAGCCTCGTGCAGCTGGCGAAGGAGCCGCGGCTGCAGCAAGCGTTCTCAGAGTGCCACGTGGCGCACGCTCAGATGGCCAACAAGGTCGCTGAGCTGGAGCAGCAGTTCGTGGAAACGAGGGCGGGAATCCAGGAATTGATGGGAGACGGCGACGGCGGGGAAAGAGGCACCTCATCTAACGAAACGACCGCTGCCGCTGTTGCAGGGGAAGCGGGGAGATTTGAGGAGAGGCAAGGGAGGAGAAGGGAGGCGGAGGTGGTGCGGGAGGTGGAGGGGGTGGTTGAGGAGGGGCACCGACTGCTGGAGGAGCAAGAAGTCATTGTCAGCATCTTGGGGTGAGTTCCCTGTGAGGCGGTCTATTTTTGAGGCGCGTCAAAAATAGTCTTGGGGTGAGTGTTCTGTGAGGCAGGGTTGGGTTACTGGTTATGAGGCGCCTTAAAGGTAGGAGGGCGGCGGAGGTGGTGAGGGGGTTGGAGGGGGTGGTGGAGGAGGGGCGCAGACTGCCTGCTGGAGGAGCAAAAAGTCATTGTCAGCATCTTGGGGTGAGTTCCCTTGGCTGTGAGTTCTTCTGGGCGTGAGGAGTCTATTTTTGAGGCGCCTCAAAAATAGACTCCCTTGGCTGTGAGTTCTTCTGGGCGTGAGGAGTCTATTTTTGAGGCGCCTCAAAAATAGACTCCCTTGGCTGTGAGTTCTTCTGGGGCGAGGTCCTTTTGAGGCGCCTCAAAATCACTCTCAGTTTTTGAGGCGCCTCAAAAGCGTTCTTCTGGGGCGAGGTCCTTGTGGGGTGGCTTTTGAGCCGAGTCAAAGGTCAGGTGGTGAGTGAGGTGGAGGGGATGGTGGAGGAGGGGCACCGGCTGCTGGAAGAGCAAAAAGACATTGTCAGCATGCTGGGGTGAGATGACTGGTCTACAGCATGCTGTATTTGCCGAGGAGGTTCCATCCCCTCCCCCCCCCCCCCACCTGCCCTTCCTCCCCTCCCCTCCCCTTCCTTCCCCACTGCCCACATTTTGAGGCGCCTAAAAAAACCCTCCACCCTTCCTCGCCTCCCCTCCCCTCCCCTCCCTTCCCAACTGCCCACAGCAAGGATCTTAACACAGTGAGACGGCTCCTACACGACTGCACCCTCAACCCCCAACCATTTCTCATTCCTCTCCCCCTGTCCTCCTGCGCCTCCCCTCCCCCTTTTCCAGCAAGGATCTCAACACAGTGAGGCAGCTGCTACACGACTGCACACTCTCAGTCACCCACTCTTCCTCCTCCTCCTCCCCCTCATTCTCCCCCTCCGCCTCGCCTTCCCGCCATCTCCCCCCTCCCTCCCCCTCCTCCTCCCCTTCCTCCTCCTCCTCCACCTCCTCCTCCTCCTCCCCCCACCTCCAACCAATCGAAGCCGTCGCCGCCCTAGACCCAATCTGCACCGCCCATTCCTCCTCCCTCCTCCCACGCATCTCAGCCATCGATTCACACCTGGCCGCACTCGTCCAATCAGCACGCGCCAGCAAGGTCGCGATGACGATTCTCGTCCACACGCGCATGCAGGCTGTTGCCAGGTGGCAGTCCCGGGTTCGCGGGTTCCGAAACCGCCTCCACGCTTTCAGGGAAGCCCTCTCCCGGCAAGATGCCCTCTTCTCCCTCCTCTCCTCCGCCCGGGCTTTAAGAGGGGCGTACGCGGATTGTTTAGGGGAAATCGCCCGGAGAAAAGGGTTCGGGATGGGGTATATGGCCCGGGCGCAGCAGGTGGCGGAGGAATTAGCGCGAGTGAGGGAGGAGGAGGTGGAGAGGAGAGGGAGGTTTTGGCTGAGGCAGGCGGAACTGGGGCTGGTGCCCAGGGAAGTGATAGGGGCGATGGGCATGGGGCAGGGGAGCGTGCCTGGCGTGTGCACTGTGAGTGTTGCGCCCTTTGATGAGCGGCTGGTGAGTGTGGGGGAGGGGGATCTGCCCGTGTGGGGGGAGGAGGGGGACGGGGAGGGGGAGGGGGAAGGGGAGGAGGGGGGGGTGGGGGAGGAGGCAGGGGGACGAGAAGGGGTAGATGGGGGGGGAAGGGGAGGGGGAGGGGGAGGGGGTGAGGGGGTGTTGGGGAGGTTGGAGCAGGCTGGCCGGGGGGAGGGGCTGGGGGCGGGGGAAAAGGGGGGGACGGGAGGGGGAGCAGGGGAGAGCATGTGGGGGGGAAGTGTGGTGGGGGGGCAGTGGAGTGCCCGTGCAAGTGATGCTGGACTAGGGGTCACTAATAACAGTATCCTCCGTGGCTATAACGAGGATGCTGCTGGCTTTAGTGCCATCAACTTCCCCTCTCACCAGCAGCAGCAGCAGCATGAGGGTGATGACGAGGATGGTGACGTCAGCCAGTCGAACGATGACGTGGCGGGCGGCAGGAGTGTGGAGGAGCTAGCGGTGGATAACATGAGGCTCAGGGCGGAGCTGATTGCACTCAGAGTGCTGGGTGCAGGTTTATCTAGGGTGGGCTCTGCTGGGGTGGGTTCTGCCAGGGTAGGTTCACCTGGTGAAAGTGCATGTGGGGAAGCAGATGGACACGTGGCAGCAGGTGACTGGCAGCAGCTGGTGCAAGCGCTGCAGCTAAGGGAGCGGGTGGTGCAGCACGTCCAGGTGGCGCTGCGCGATAGGCAGGCGCAGGTGGTGGCGTACGAGCGGCGCATCAGAGAGCTGGAAGGGACGCTCAGGGATATGAGTAGAGACATGGGTGGAGTCGAGGGTAGAGAGGTGGGCGGAGAGGTGGGAGGCGACGTGGGCGGAGATATGGCTGGAGACTCGGCTAGTGGGCAGTCGGTCGATGGAGTGACTACATGGGAGGGGAGAACGCAAGATAGATCTTTGGAGCAAGGCGTGCATGATAGACCTCTGGTGGAGGAGGGTAGAGCGGAGGACGGGATAGGGGGAGAGGAGGAGGGTAGAGCGGAGGAGGGGTTAGGGGGAGAGGAGGAGAATGAGGGGAGGAAGAAAGAGGTCATTGCAGCTTTAGAAACGGAGCTCCAGTCCAGGTTAACTGAGCTGCAGTCCAAGGCAGCTGAGCTGCAGTCGTTGCAGTCAAAACTTGTCGAGCTAGAGCCATTGCAATCCAAGCTCACTGCGACAGAATCCCAGCTGGCAGCAGCGCAGACAAAAGTGTCCGTGGGAGAATCAGATCTCGCCTCCGTCCAATCAAAGCTCACCGCTGCAGAAGCCAGGCTGGCTGCCGCCCAATCCCAGCTGGAGGAGGCTCGAGATGAGTCAGCACGGCTAGAAGCGCTTCTGAGCGAGCGCACTGTAGAGTTAAGCGCTCGCACTGTAGATATTAATGCTATTACTGTAGAGTTCAATGCGTGTAAAGAGGAATTGAATCTGTGTACGGTAGAGCGTGAGCGGGTTCAGGGGCAGCGGGAGGAGTTGCAGCAGGAGATTTCTCAGGTGATTCAGCAACAGAGGCGTGAGGCTGCCAGAGTGGTGGATCTTGAAGCTGACGTGGCATGGAAAGATGCTGAGCTGGCGAGGGTGGGTGCTGACCTGGCTGCTGCTGAGGTGGCAGTGGGGAGGCTCTCTGAGTTGGAGAGAGGGGCAGGTGGGCCGATGCAGCTGCAGCAGCTGGTGATGGAGAGGTGTGGAGTGGTGGAGAGGGGTGGAGTGAGAGATGGAGTAGCAGGGGGGGGAGGAGGAGGAGTTGGAAGGGGTTTAACTGAGGATGGGCCAATGGCGTGTGAGGCAGGAGAAGGGAAGGGAGGAGCCGGGGAAGGGGGGGATGGTTTAAGGGCAGGTTGGGAAGGTGGTGGGTTGAGGAGGCAGGTGAGTGACATGGGGCGACAGGTGACGGCATTGGAGGAGACTGTGCGCAGGAAGAGCGCCATGCTGGCGGAGTGCCAGCTCAACTGCGCACACCTGGAGAACCGCCTGCACGAGGCGAGGAGCGAGGCGAGAAGTGAGGCGAGAAGCGAATCCCAAAAGGACGTAGTAGAAAGCCAGCTGCTGGCGAAGACTGCGGCGGCGGTAGCAGAGTGGCAGCGCAAGTGCGCGGAGCTAGAGAGCCGCCTGCACGAGGCGAGGAGCGAGGCGCGGACGCTGCGGTGCTCCGCGGACCGGCGGGCGGCGGAGAGCGGCGGGTTGCGGGCGGCGACAGTGCGGCTGAGGGGGCTGATGGAGCGGGCGAGCCGATGCCTGCAGGGGAACAGCCTTGGGAGTGTCGTGGAGGGGCTCAAGGGCTTGGCTGACTCGCTGGGAGGGGTTCATCCTGCCACAGGACGTGACGGCAGGACCGGCCTTTCGTCCAGTCTAAACCTCTCTTCCTCCAGTCACGCTCTTTCCTCTGCCGCTACTGCTGGCTCGGCTTCTGCTGGCTTGGCTTCCCCTACTGCAGCTACTGCTGCTGCTGCTGTTTCTGACTCGGCTGGTTCCTCCGCTTCTTCCTTAAGCAGGAGTGATGTACTCGTTACTGGCGGCGGCTCCACTAGCAGCAGCGCTGCTGCTTCTTGTGCCTCTCGTTCTGCTGTTTCCGCTGCTGCCTCTCCTGCTGTCTCTGCCCCTGCTGCTGCTGACGACTGGGTGGGGGCGGCAGTGAGGGCGCTGGTGGTGGGCGTGCTGCGAGTGATGGAGCGCGGCTACAAGGCGGAGGGGGATGCGCATCGACTGGCGAGACAGTTGCAACGGACTTCTGATGCTCTTGTGGACATGTCGTCCAAACACGAGATGGTCAAGCAGGTGCGGGCTGAGGGGAAGCCACGTGAGGGTCTGGGGTGCGACAGATGAGTGATTAAAGACAAGCAGGTGAGGTTCTCTGGTGAGTGAGTGGGTGGGTGAGGGCGCTGGTGGTGGGCGTGCTGTGAGTGATGAAGCAAGGACACAAGGCGGAGAGGGGCGCGCATCGACTTCCACGGCAATTGCAGAGGACGTCAGATGCACTTGTGGACACGTCATCCAACAGAGGTGACTTTTGAGTCGACTCAAAAGGCACTTGTGGACACGTCATCCAACAGGTGGCAAGATGGTCATCGAATCGAATCGAATCACGAGTGATGGTCACACAGGTGAGGGAGGAGGGTTAACCAGGTGAGCGATGTAAGGAAGTCAGGTGGGCACTGCGAGTGATGGAGCGAGGCGAGGGCACAAGGCGGAGGGGGGTGCTAACAACGCCTCATCATCCTCTGCTCCCTTTCTCCTACCTCTCCCCTCGGTTACCCGTGTCTTTTGAGTCGACTCAAACTCTTACGACTTCCCTCACCTCGGTTGCCCGTTCCCACTCCCCCTTCCCTTCCTGAAGATGACTTTTGAGTCGATCTCACGGGCAATCTCTTCAAAAGTCACTCCCCCTCCCCCTTCCTGAAGATGACTTTTGAGTCAATCTCACGGGCAATCTCTTCAAAAGTCACTCCCCCTCCCCCTTCCCTTTCTGAAGAGATTGCCCGTGAGAGGACACTTTTGAGTCGACTCAAAAGACCCCTCCAGCAGCGGCACAATGAGCCCAGGGATTACCAGCAGGATCATCATCATCATCACTTTTGAGTCGAACCACATCACTGCGTTTGTGCCTGCTAGAGGGGGCCACTACTGCGCCCTCTCCCCCCCACAGCTCCGTCTCTCGTCCTGGTTACTGGATGCCAGTCCCCCCTCTCCAGCCCCCCCCCTTCCAGTCCCCCCCCTTCCAGTCCCCCCCCCTCCAGTCCCCCCCTCTCCAGTCCCCCCCCTCCAGTCCCCCCCCTCCAGTCACTTATGGATTGCAGTCCCCCCCCTTTGTTGACAGGTAGCCCGAGAAAGAATCTCATTCTCCCGCTTCCGGATGCATGGCATCGCTGCCTTTGTGCCTGTGAGGGGGGGGCGGCCACTACCGCGCCCTCTGCTCCTCCTGGCTTCGCTTCTCACCTCGATCACTACTTTCCTCTCTCCCTGTGCGACTTGACCAACAGATCGCTCGTCAGAGGATAGCTTTCTCTCGCTTCCACACTCACGACATCGCTGCCTCTGTTCCGGTGAAGGGGGGGGGCACTACCGCGCCCTCTGCTCCCCTTATTTTTGCCTCTCACCGCAATCACCCGTTTCCAACATCATCACCCCCTCAAACCAATGTGCATTCCACTCCCACTCTCTTCTTCAACAGATTGCCCGGGAGAGGATCGCCTTCTCTCGCTTCCACACGCACGACATCGCTGCCTTTGTGCCTGTGAAGGGCGGCCACTACCGCGCCCTCTGCTCGCCCGACGCTGCTGCCATCCCGCTCTTCCTCTCCCCACACTCCCTGGCGCTGTTCATGCAACAGCAGGGGCAGCAGGGGCAGCAGCAGCAAGGGCAGGGGGAGGGAGAGGAGAGCAATGATAAGGAAAGAGGGGAGCAAGAGAGCGTGAGAGCAGGGGAGGGATTGAGGTTCAAGAGGTCAAGTGAGGAGATGGTGAGGCCGGCTGTTTACCCTGTGATTGTTGGTCGCATCGTGCACATAGAGCGCAAGATCGCTGCTGCTGAATGCACGTTAAGTACTGCTGCTGCTGCTGCGGATGCTGCAGCCGCTGCTTCTTCTGTTCCTCTCCAAATTCCTCCTCCGCCTTCTCCTCTTGCGGCTGGTGCCGCTGGCTCTGTCGACGGAAGCAGCACGCGCATCACCACCGCAACCACCCACACGGGATGTCCGTATGGTTTGCCTCCCGGGGCTCCGTACGCTGTTGTCACCATCGCCATGCTGCCTGCTGCTGCCCTTGCTGTTTCTGCTGCTTCTGCTGCTTCCACTCTTCCTACTGCTGCTGTTCCTGCTGCTGCTGGTCCTTCTGCTGCTGCTACTGCTGCTACTGCTGCTACTGCTGCTACTGCTGCTGCTGCTGCTGCAGCTGCAGCACAGGTTGCAGCGACAGCCGCTGTTGCTGCGACCGTGAGAGTTACAGGAGAGGCAACAGAGGCAAGCGGGTTACCACCAAGTGAAGCAGCACTGGGCATGGTTACACCGGTAACCGCAGGAAGGCTGAGGGTCGTACTAGCAGCACCAGCAGCACCAGCAGCACCAGCAGCACCAGCGGCGGCACAATGAGTCCAGGGATTACCAGTGGGATCATCGTTAGCAATCGTGAAGCAACAACGGGCATGGTTGCTCCAGCAACAGGAAGGCATATTTTGAGTCGACTCAAATTACACATGGTTACACCAGTAACAGGAAGGCTCAGTGCAGAAGTAGCGCCAGCAGCACCAGCAGCGGCACAATGAGTCCAGGGATTACCCCAGCAGGATCATCAGCAGCAATTGTGAAGCAGCAATAGGCATGGTTGCTCTGTACCAGCAGCGTCACCAGCAGCACCAGCAGAACCAGCAGCGGCGCAACGAGTCCAGGGATTACCAGCAGGATCATCATCAGCATTTCTGAAGCAGCGGCGGGCATGGTTGCTCCGGTGACAACAAGAAGGCTGAGTACCGTACCAGCAGCGCCACCAGCAGCGCCACCAGACCAGCGGCACAATGAGTCCAGGGATTACCAGCAGGATCATCAGCAGCAATGGTGAAGCAACGATGGGCATGGTTGCTCCCGTAACAACAGGACGGCTGAGTGCACAGGAAGCAGCTGCTTCAGCACCACCAGCAGCGCAATGAGTCCAGTCTAGGCATTACCAAGTGGCGTCATCATCAGCACTGGTTATGTGATGGTCACCTGCCGGTGAAGCAGCAATGGGCATGGTTACACAGGTAACAGCAGGAAGGCTGTGTGCCGAAGTAACAACTGGCCCTGCACCACCGGTGGGTAGCACAATGTGCACGCGAGCCTCGAGTTGTGATTGATTGCTATTAATGTGTCCAATTCAAGCATTGTATCATAATTTGCAATTGTGACAGGAGGGATTGTCAAACATGTCTATCTCCTATGTTTGCATAGACTAGATAGGGCCACCTCTAAGAGGGTACAACACTTAGGTATATTCACCTGTACTCTCTCTCTACTCATCATTCAGTTCTCACTTTGATATGGTATCACGCGTAGGTTAGGATCCCCCACCTACCGCTTCCGCCCGTACCCTAGCTAAGCCCCGTCGCTTCCCCCTGGGCCCCGTCGCGCCTCCTAGCCCCGTCGCGCCCCTCCTGGGCCCTGCCGCGCCTCCTGGCCCCGTCGCGCCCCCCTAGCCCCGTCGCGCCCCTCCTGGGCCCCGTCGCGCCCCCCTGGCCCCGTCGCGACCCCCTAGCCCCGTCGCACCCCTCCTGGGCCCCGTCGCGCCCCCTAGCCCAGTCGCGCCCCTCCTGGGCCCCGTCGCGCCCCCCTCGCCCCGTCGCGACCCCCTAGCCCAGTCGCGCTCCTCCTGGGCCCCGTCGCGCCCCTCCTGGGCCCCGTCGCGCCCCCCTGACCCCATCGCGACCCCCTAGCCCAGTCGCGCCCCTTCTGAGCCCCGTCGCGCCCCTCCTGGGCCCCGTCACGCCTTTTAGCCCTGTCGCGCCCTGCCTGGCCCCGTCGCGCCTGCCTGGCCCCGTCGCGTCCTACCTAGCCCCGTCGCGCCCTGCCTGGCCCCGTCGCGTCTGCCTGGCCCCTCCGCGCCTGCCAGGCCCCGTCGTGCCTGCCTGGCACCGTCGCGCCCTGCCCAGCCCCGTCGCGCCCTGCCTGGCCCCGTCGCGCCTTCCTGGCCCCGCCGCGCCTGCCTGGCCCCGCCGCGCCTGCCTGGCCCCGTCGCGCCTGCCTGGCCCTGCCGCGCCTGCTTGGCCCCGCCGCTCCTGCCTTGCGCCCGTCCCAGCCGGCCCCGCGCCCGCCCTTGCGACCTCCGCGCCCGTCTGCTCGGCCCCTGCGCCCGTCCCAGCCGGCCCCGCGCCCGTCCCGTCGACCAGGTGCCCGCTGCTTCTGGCCCCCGCGCCCGTCCTGCCCCGAGCTGTGTGCGGCCCGCTCGTCGTCCCTGCCCCGGCCCTGCATCCTCCCTGGTACGGTTCCCCATCCCTGCACCGCACTGCATCGCCCTGCACCGCACTGCACCGCACTGCACTGCACGGTACCGCCCTGCACTGCACTGCACCGCCCTGCACCGCACTGCACTGCACTGTACAGTCCTGCACTGCTCCTGATGGCGGCGGAGCTTTGCTTCGACGCTGAAGGCCAGCCTCTGAAGTTCGAGGCGTGGCTCGCCGACCTCCGTTGCCACCTCACTGGCCATCGGCAGGATGGCCACCCGCTTTCCGCACACCTTGACGGTACGCTCCCCTGCCCAGACCCCCCTTCTGTTCTGCCCTGCCCTTCTGTGCTGACCCCACACTCGCTGAGCGCGAGTCTACTGCAGCCACTGCCCTTGCGCGCTCTGTCTGGCTTTCCCGAGACGTTGTCGCTCAGCTTGCCATTAGCAATGCCCTTCCCCCGTCCGAGCGCCCTCGCTTTAGGTCCATCACTACCGCCCACGGTTACTTAGATGCTGTCATCAAGCGCTATTCCACCCCTCCTGCTGCCTCGGTGGGTCGCCTGATCCTCCCGATGCTCTTTCCCGACCTTGAGTCTTTCCCCACTGTCTCTGACCTAGCTGCCCACCTGCGCTCGATAGATGAGACCTGGCGCGCTGCCTGCACTGACGCACAGCTTAGAGCCCACCAGCCGCCCATTACCTCTACCCTCTACCTGCTTGCCACCCGCCTCCCTGACCGCCTTGCCGCCGCCCGTGACCGCTTCCTTAGCATTCACCCCGGTGAGCTCACCCTCACCGACTTCGTAGACATCCTGACTGTTATTGAGACCCGCCACCGCTCCATCGCCCAGGCGAGCGGTACCGTGCCGGTCCCTATCTTTCAGGGTTGTGCCCCCGCTCAGTGTAACTTCTCCGACGGTTCTGTCGCTGTGGCTGAGACTGCTGCTGCAGCGCAGTTTCGTTCGGGGAAGGGCCGCTGCCCCAAGGCTGGGCGCGGCGGAGGAGGCGGGGGTGCAGGAGGGGGTGGTGGTGGAGTCGGGTCGTTGGTGCTGGAGCAGACGAGGGGACCCTGCCCAGTCCAGCTGATCCGCCGCCTCCGCAGTCGCAGCAGCAGCAGCAGCAGCCGCAGCAGTCGCAGCAGTCGCAGCAGCCGCAGCAGCCGCCGCAGACAAGGCAGGCGACTGTCCTCCCGCCCGGGTGGCCTGGCGCTGGAAGTGGTCGGGCGCGTGGTGGTGTGCCGAGTGGTGGTTCGGGAGGCGTGCGTTGTCAGTACCAGATCCAGACCGGTCCTCGCCGCGGCTTCGTTTGCGGTAAGCTCGGTCATACCACTCCCCGCTGTTTTCGTCGCCTGGACGACCTGTTTCGTCAGCGCTTCGGCCCGTCGCCAGACCTTCCGGACTGGCACAGTTTGCTTAGTCGTCGGATTCAGATTTTTGACATAGACATGGATGCCATTGTTTCTGCTCTGCATGTGATGTATGCTGATGACTCTAGTGCGCTTCCCGCTTACTACTCACTGTCGTCTAGTGTAGGTGTGCCTAGCTTAGCCTCCCCTGCTGCGTCAGGCATAGGATCCCCTACTTTGTTTAGCCTTGGTGCTTCCGCCGTCGCCCCGTCGCCGGACGCCACTGCTTCGCTTTCCTTCACCTTGGACTTTGGCGCTTCCCGGTGCTTCTTCCGCGACTCTACTACACTGACGCCGCTTCCTGTTCTTGCTGCCGTTTCTCTCGCTGACCCCTCCAGCGGTCCGATAGTCGCCCGCAGTTCCACCACCCTTCCCTATCCGGCGGTTCCTTCGGGCTCTCTTACACGTCTGCGTATCCCCTCGTTCTCCAGGAACCTAGTTGGTGTCGGCTGCCTCCAGGACCTTGGCATCACCACTACGTTCCCTGGTCACGAGCGGTATGCTGTCTGTACCGAGGCCGCCACTGGTGCCCCCCTGTCCACGTTCCCCCGGGACCCGGTGTCCGGCCTGTTCACTCTGGACACCGTGACCCCCCCGTCTGGGGCGCCCCCTCAGGTGGCTGCGTCTACCCAGGTTGCTGCTGCCTGCTCCTGTCGGTCCCTCACTTACCCGACTCTCCTTTGGCACCACCGCCTAGGTCACCCTGCGCTCCCGCGTCTGCATCACATGTCCCAGCATGGTCTCGTCCTTGGTCTCCCTGGTTCTCTCCCCGCTTTTCCCTCCTCCCCAGCCCCACCTTGCACGCCTTGCGTCGAGAGTCGGCTTCGCCGTGCCCCTCACTCCTCCTCGTTTCCCCCTACCGCCGCGCCGCTGCAGACCCTGCACATGGACGTCTGGGACCCCGCCCCCGTCCATGGGCCGCGTCGAGAGCGCTTCTTCCTTGTGCTTGTCGACGACTTCACTCGCTACACCTCGGTATTTCCCCTGGAGCGGAAGGCCGACATGCCTGCCGCTCTCATCCCCTGGCTTGTCTCTGCCCGTGTCCACCGAGTTCTCCCTGTCTTGCGCCTTCACTCCGACCGTGGTGGCGAGTTTGCCTCAAGTGTCCTTGGTCGCTTTTGTCGTGCGGAGGGCATGACCCAGACGTTCACCCTACCGGACTCCCCACAGTAGAATGGGGTCACTGAGCGACGCATCGGTTTGGTCATGGAGGTGGCTCGCACCTCCATGATCCATGCCGGTGCACCCCATTTTCTGTGGCCGTTCGCTGTGCGCTACGCTTCTCACCAGCTTAACCTCTGGCCGCACCCCCAGCAGCCGCAGGTTTCGCCGACCCGTCTTTGGACTGGGTCTCCTGGTGACGCGTCTGCGTTCCACGTCTGGGGCTGCCTTGCTCACGTACGTGCCTCCGGCACGGACAAGCTCACTGCCCGCACCTTTCCCTGCATCTTCCTCAGTTTTCCCCTTGACGCGTCTGACTGGCACTTCTACCACCCGCCGTCTCACCGCTTCTTTCACTCTCGCGACGTCACCTTTGACGAGTCCGTCTCCTACTACCGTCGCTTCCCCCACCGCGGTCCTCCGGTTACCCCCCCCCTGTTCCTGGTCACTCCTTCCCCAGTAGTCCCTGCCCCTCCCCCTCCTCCTCCCCGTCCTGCTCCCTCTGGTGTGTCCCACGTCACCCCTCTTCCGTCGGTGGTCCCGGTTGAGGAGTCTTCTGACTCTAGTGGTCCTGCGGCGCAGTCCTCGCCAGCTGCCCCTCCCCAGGCGTCCCCTCCTCCACCGCCTCTGCCGCCGCTGTCGCCCCTCCTGTCGCAGCCATTGTCACCTCCGCCGCCGCCGCCACCGTCGTTGTCGCTGCCGCCGCCGTCGCCGTCGCAGCACCCGTTCGTTGACTCTGCGGGTGCTGGCGTTGGAGTGCGTGCTAGTCCCGGTACCCCTGGGGGTGGTACCGGTCCTCGAGGGGTTTCGGGCCCTGGAGGTGTTCCCTCTGGGGGTGCTGGCGTGGAGTGTGCCGGTGATCGCCGAGGAGCAGCTTGCGGTCCTGGTGTCGGCGGTGTGCCGCCGCAGCAGCAGTCCCCGCCGGTGTCAGCCCTTCGCCTGCTCGGCCTTCCGTCCCCTGACCCTGCGTCTGATCCTCTCTGGCCGTCTCCTCTTCCCGTGTACGGCCCTGTGTTCCCTCCGCCGGACTCGTCCCCGGCTCGTCTTCCTCCTCGTTCCCCCCCTGTGTCCCCTCCCCTGTCTCCTGACCCGACTCCTCGTCTCACTTCTGGTCTCACCGTCCCTCCTGTGCTCATCCTGCCTCCCCTGTCTTACGCTCCCACCCTATGTTGCTTCGTTCCCACGCGTCTCGTCCTCCCCTTCTCCCGTCGCCTCCTTCGTCCTCCCTTGTTGTTGCACCCCCCCCTCTGTCTGACTACCTTCGTGCCGCTCGTCCTCTTGTTCCTCGGGTCCTTGCCTCTCTCGTTACCGACCCGTCTGTTCCGGTCTCGTGCCTTGACGCTCTGGTAGCTGCGGTCGCTGACTTCGCCTCTACCCGCCGCCTTGACTACGCCACTGCTCTGGTCTCTGACACTGCCTGTCCTCCGTGTGTCGGGGGTGCTCCTGCCCTCGGCAGTGACGTCATGGAGGACCGCCAGTTCGAGCTTGCTTTCCTGTCGAAGCTGCTCCCCATCTCTGTTCCATGCTGCTTGTCCCTGAGGGTGACCCAGACGCTTTCGACATCCCGACCCCTCGCACTTACGCTGAGGCGACCTCGGGACCTTGGGCCTCGCAGTGGATAGCTGCCATGGAGCAGGAGATGGCATCTTGGAGATCCACCGGCACCTTTGTCGACGCAGTTCCCCCACCTGGGGTGAACGTAGTCGATGGCCGCTGGCTCTTCAAGGTGAAGCGCCCTCCTGGAGAGCCGCCTGTGTTCAAGGCGCGCTACGTGGCTAGAGGCTTCAGTCAGCGTGAGAGGGTGGATTTCTTCCAGACCTTCGCTCCGACCCCGAAGATGACTACTCTTCGGGTTCTGTTACACCTAGCTGCTCAGCGTGACTACGAGCTTCACTCCTTCGACTTCTCTACCGCGTTTCTTTAGGGCAGTCTACACGAGCAGGTCTACCTGCGCCGCCCTCAGGGCTTCATTGGTACCTTCCCTCCTGGGACCCAGTGGCTCCTGCGGCGCCCCGTCTACGGCCTGCGGCAGGCTCCCCGTGAGTGGCACGACACGCTGCGTGCTACGCTTGCTGACCTGCAGTTCTTTCCGTCCTCTGCAGACCCCTCGCTCTTCGTTCGTGCTGGCCAGACTCCGTTCTACATCCTTGTTTGCGTAGACGACCTGGTTTTCGCCACAGCAGATAGGGACGCACTGGCCTCCGTGAAGGCAGATCTGCTGAAGAGACACACTTGCACTGACCTTGGAAAATTGCGCCACTACCTTGGCTTGCAGATCTCCAGGGACAGAGCAACGTGTACCATCACTTTGACTCAGTCACACTTGGTGCGCCAGGTCCTTCAGAGGTTCCGCCTTCAGTTCTCCTCCGCACAGCCCACTCCTCTGCCTCTAGACCACAGGCTCTCCACTCTAGTTCCAGAGGAGTCAGTAGAGCCCAGTGGTCCTTACGCAGAGCTGGTGGGTTGCCTCGTGTACCTGATGACTTGCACTCGCCCAGATCTCGCATACCCTCTCAACATCCTGGCGCGCTTTGTGGCTACAGGCAGACACCAACCTCAGCACTAGTCTGCCGCTAAGAGGGTTTTGCGTTATCTTGCAAGTACATCGGGCATGGGGTTAGTGCTAGGAGGACGCAGGCCAGGGGTGCTTACTGGCCACACAGACGCTTCTTGGGCAGACGACGCCGAGACCCTCAGGTCCTCGCAGGGCTACTATTTCAGCCTTGGTTCAGGTGCCGTCTCGTGGAGAGCTACCCGCTCCTCGTCTGTTGCCCAGTCCAGCTCTGAGGCCGAGATCTACGCCGGTGCCATGGCGGCACAGGAGCTCGGCTGGCTGACCTTCTTGCTTACTGACCTAGGTGAGCGGCCTAGCTCTGCCCCGGTCCTGTACGCTGACAACAGGGCCATGATCCTCCTGTGTCGGGAGCCTCGACTCAAGGGCAGAGCGAAGCACATCCAGCTGCGGTACTTCCTCCAGCGTGAGCTCCAGCAGCGCTGCCAGGCGCGCGTAGTACACTTGGCCTCCGGTGCCAACACAGCTGATATCTTTACGAAGGCGCTTGCGCCTAAAGATCATCAGCGGCACTGTGTACAGCTTGGTCTAGTTCCTGTAGCCTCTCACTTGCTAGGGCCTTGACTTTGTACTGTCTTTTATATGTGTACTCGGACTGGACTTGTGTCCTCTCCCAGTGGCTGGACTAGTAGTGCCGCCCTGGTCTTGTTCTTGCCTTGTCTGTACTACTTCTGACTGGTCTTTTAAACCCTTGTCTCAGAGGCTGGACTAGTAGTGCCGCCCTGAGCTGCTTGTTCAGGACCTGCCCCTATGCAGTCTAGGGGGTGTGTCAAACATGTCTATCTCCTATGTTTGCATAGACTGTATAGGGCCACCTCTTAGAGGGTACAACATTTAGGTATATTCACCTGTACACTCTCTCTACTCATCATTCAGTTCTCACTTTGATAGGGATACCAGCAGCACAGCCAGCAGCGCAATGATGTGTTTCGAGAGCATGGCAGAGTGGGAAGACTAGATTCACACGTCTGTGTATGTACGTTGCAGTGTACAGCTTGCATTGCAACAGAATGCAATGCACTATATGGAATGCATAAGCATATGAAGCAATTTATCGTGAGAATAATTATTTATACAACATACAAAGAGCTGCTAGAAAGCCAAAACAGAAAAGACGCAACTGTCAATGTTACTGTTCCTTCTCAGTCGAGACCTCAGCTAGGTGCTTCAGCTTGGTGTAGATTTCATCCACATCTTCTTTCTTATGCTCCGTGCCAGCCAGCGGAAGGTGCTTGGAAGCAACCTGCCGGTCAAAGTAGAAACTTCCGTTGACCAGCTTTGACTCAGGTTGCCTCGCCAGCCATACTATGGTGTCTGCTCCCTCCTCAGGTTTTCTCAAGGAAGTCTTGAACCTGCAGGGTGGAGTGGAGGAGGGCAGGGCAATGAGCATGGATTGGCATGCAGGAGAAACGTTGACTTGGGTTGACTCGCCAGCCATACAACTGAGTCGATTCATAAGGCAACTTGCACATTCAGCGTGAAAGAGTGCAGCTTACGTGTTGTAGAATCCCGGCATGCTGGTTTGAAGCACGGCCGTGTCCACCCATCCAGGATGCATGGAGTAGAACCCCACCCCTCCTGCCTGTACCCCATATAGCTCGGCCCACTTCTCTGTAAGAGCCACCTGAAGATGGTAGGGGAAGAGGAATTGGCATTTAACGAAACCAAAATCGATCTATGAAAACAAGGGGTTCGGATGAAGGATGGCGGCCACAATTGCAAAGGCCTACGGCTGGACTTGATAGTAGCTAAACCAGTAATTGACAAAAACATTTTCAGTTGTCCGCTTTCCATATCCACTGCTCGAACTTCCCTTTCTCCATCCCCCCGTCCTCCCCCAACCCCTTCCCTCCCCCCCCCTTCTCACCGCCTCCACCTCTTCCCCCTCCCTCCTCTCTCCCATACACACACTCACCTGCACTCGCTTGTTGCGTGCATACGCGTCTGTTCCATCAAAATTGGCGTTTTCCATTTGCAGATCGGTGCTGAGCGGTTGAGTGAGAATACCCCCAGTGGCCACTGTGATGACTTTTGCTTCGGGGGCTGCCCGCTGCAGCAGGGGCAGCAGGGCTTCGGTCAGAACGAATGTTCCGAGGACGTTCACTGCAAAGTTGAGCTCGAAGCTGGGAGGAGGAAAAAGAAAGGAGGAAAGAGGAAAGAAGCGGGGAGAGGAAAGAAGAGATGAGAGGAGAGAAGAGGGGAGAGGAAAGAAGAGAGGAGTGGAAAGAAGAGAGGAGAGGAGAGACGAGGAAAGAAGAGAGGAGAGGAGAGAAGAGGGGAGAGGAAAGAAGAGAGGAGAGGAGAGAAGAGGGGAGAGGAAAGAAGAGAGGAGAGGAGAGAAGAGGGGAGAGGAAAGAAGAGAGGAGAGGAGAGAAGAGGGGAGAGGAAAGGAGAGAGGAGAGGAGAGAAGAGGGGAGAGGGGGAAAATGTCACCTCCCATCCATTCATGCTCCAAGAATCTGGAGGTTGTCAATAGCAACAATCCATGGGAGTTGGTGCGTTGCCTGGCTCTCTCCATTGCACTGCAGACGACACTCACCCAGTACTCTCCCCTTTCCATTGCATTTTAATCAGCACTCACCCATCGGGCGATGTCTTCCTCTCGTGCTCCATCACTCCGGCGTTGTTCACCAGCACGTGAACTGGCGAGTCGAGGGACACAAGGCGGGTCACGAGTGCCCGGATCTGGGCGAGAGACGAGAGGTCGCACACCTGCGAGGGCGGGGCGAGGGAGAGATAGATAGCCGGGTTAGAAGAGCAAATACCACTGTGTGATAATAATGCGTGGTTTGAGACGCCTCAAAACACGAGAGATACGAGACGTGTCACGAGTGATCGGATCTGGGCGAGAGAGGAGAGGTCGCACACCTGCGAGGGCAGGGGGAGGGAGAGATAGATAGATGGGGGAAGAAGAAATGTAGGGTTGCACATGGGTTGTTAAGGCCGTGTTGTTGACCAGCACGTGAGCGCGTGGGCACGTGCACTAGCGAGTCGAGGGACACAAGGCGAGTCACGAGTGACCGGATCTGGGCGAGAGGGGAGAGGTAGCACACCTGCAGGGCACGGGGAGGGAGGCAGGGAGAGAGGGGGGGGGGGCGCTCTTTCTGAGGGGCCTCAAAAGCGTTCTTTTGAGAGGTCGCACACCTGCGCGGGCAGGGGGAGGGATAGATAACCAGGGGAAGCGAGAAATGCTATTGAGTCGACTCACATGCACCTGAGAGGGCAGGGCGAGGGAGAGATAGATAGCTGGGGAAAGAGAAAAAAGGAGAGTTGGAAATGGGTTGGAAATGGGTTGGAAATCCCCCACACTCAGGGTGCCAACACTCCACCCAACTTTGCCCTGAACCCTGCACTCAACTGTGCAGTTAGACTCCCAGCTGGTAAGGGAGTTGCCTTGAGGCGTTTCAAAGTTCAGCCCGCACCTGTAATCCTCTTTAACCCCACAACTCACCTGGAGAAACACCTGGTTGTTGGCCTCACCTGAAGATGCACGTGGCTGCTCTCACCTGAAGAAACACCTGGTCGTTTCCTGTTTGGGCGGCAATCTCGGAGGCTGCAGCCGCCCCCCTGGCCTCGTTACGACACACAATGTGAACAGTAGCACCTCTGCAGGCGTTAGGAAGGGGGGGAGTGAGGAAGCGAGTGAGAGAGCGAGTAAGGGAACGAGTGGGTGTGTGTGTGTGGCTGGCTGGGTGTGTGTGGGTGTGTGTGGGTGTGTGTGTGTGGGGGGGGGAGGGGGGGGTTGTGGGGGTTTGTCTGTGTGTGTGTTTGTGTGTGGGTGGGTGGGTGCCTGTGGCTGTGTGAGTGTGAGTGTGGGTGTGTGTGTGTGTGTGTGGGTGTGTGTGTGTGTGTGTGTGTGTTTGTGTGTGGGTGTGTGTGTGTGTGTGGGTGTGTGGGTGTGTGTGTGTGGGTGGGTGTCTGTGTGTGTGTAGGTGGGTGTCTGTGTCTTGGAGTCGACTCGAAACGAAACTTATATCACACGCCTGTCTAACTTATCTCCCCCACCTGTGCGTCTCTCACCCACACCTACCCTTTTTCCATCGGACCCCCTCTTTACCTCTGAGCCATGGCGGTGGCAGCAGGGCACCCACGCGTTCCCCCTGAGCCATGGCGGTGGCAGCAGGGCACCCACGCGTTCCCCCTGAGCCATGGCGGTGGCAGCAGGGCACCCACGCGTTCCCCCTGAGCCATGGCGGTGGCAGCAGGGCACCCACGCGTTCCCCCTGAGCCATGGCGGTGGCAGCAGGGCACCCACGCGTTCCCCCTGAGCCATGGCGGTGGCAGCAGGGCACCCACGCGTTCCCCCTGAGCCATGGCGGTGGCAGCAGGGCACCCACGCGTTCCCCCTGAGCTATGGCGGTGGCAGCAGGGCACCCACGCGTTCCCCCTGAGCTATGGCGGTGGCAGCAGGGCACCCACGCGTTCCCCCTGAGCTATGGCGGTGGCAGCAGGGCACGCATTCCCACCCAGGTTACCCCCTGTGACCACACGCATGCCTCCGTGCCCACTCATGCTCGCCCTTCAAACCTAACCCCCCACCTCCGAGCCACTGCCCCAAGGGCTCATACCTCTGAGCCATGGCAATAGCAGCAGCGCGCCCTATGCCCTGGTTGCCCCCCGTCACCACGCACACGCGCCCCTCCATGTCCCGCTGCCTCGCCCCTCGAGCCTATCTCCCTCACCCATGCGCCTCCCATGCCTGCTTTTTCCCCCTCCATGTCCCGCCGCCCCTCCCCTCACCTTTGCGCCATGGCGGTCGCAGCAGCGCGCCCTATGCCCTGATTGCCCCCCGTCACCACGCACACGCGCCCCTCCATATCGCGCTGCCTCCGCGCATCCGCCGCTGCTGCAGGCTCGGGAGCAACAGCGCCTGCGGATTCGGCTGCCTTCTCATCCGCATCTTCAAACGACTTGGCGCGCTTTCTGGGGGCGGTGAGCGGAGGGGGGGACGCGGGTGTGAGTATGGAGGGCGGGAATGAGAACGACTTGGCGCGCTTCTCATCCGCATATTCGAACGGCTTGGCGCGTTTTCTGGCGGCGGTGAAAGAGAAGAGGCGCGCGGGGAATGAGATCGGAGCGGGATGGGCAACCCTCCGTGACTGGCACGCTCTAAACTAGGCGAAAGGAAGCGCGGCGCGGCGCGCGAGTGACGGAGGGACGGTCTCGTTAGTGGATGAGAGGAGCGCGCGAGTGAACGATGAATCAACGAGGGAAGGCAGACGAGGGAAGGTGCATGCGAGACGAAGGGCAGGGCTAAGCGAAGGAAGGGGCAAGGGAAGGTTCATGCGCGGAACGGTCGTCGTACAGAAAGGCGCTTCTAGTGAAGTTGGCGTTGCCGTACGCGAGGAAGAGCGCGTTGCGCAAGACCTGCATGAGACGAAAGACGCGGGGGGAGAGCGGGGGGAGAGCCGGGGGAGAGCCGGGGGAAAGCGGGGGGTGAGTGGTGGTGGAGAGTAAGTGCGTGCGGAAGGTACGGCGAGATATGGTAAGACTCCCGGGCTGCAGCGTAGTTCGATGCGCTGGAGCAACGTCACAAATAGGCACGACCCCATAAGTGCAGGATTGCTAACGCCGCGAAGGCCGGCCTAGTGGCAAGCAGGAGCGCGAACCTGCATTATGGCGCGAGCAAACGCCGAGAAGTGGCTGCTGATGAAACGGTCGGAGCGTGTCCCAGTAAACGCGTTGAGGGAATACGATAGCTTGTGGGACAAAGAACCTGGGCCGAAGCTGGAGAGAATACTAATGGAGAGTAATAAAATTCAGATGGATCGAGACAGGAATCAGTGAAATTAGTAGGTGCTTTTCGGGATTCTGGGGGAGGCCCTGCCCACGACGTGGATCTTCCTGGAAGGCCGCTTCACCAGGAAGGATCGAGGGATGTCCTTTGCCCACGTCATCAACAGTGAACTCGGATACGCATTCCGCGACATTCCCTAGGCTGCGAAAGCAGAAATTGAGAGGCGCTCTTCGCTCACTCTTCGTCTGTAGAGTATTGAGGTGGAACCAGGGTGGTCTGGCGAAAACCATTGTTACATACGCAATTCCCTTCGGTTTTTGCGAAGTTAGCGAAGTCGAGGTGAAAGCGGGTGACGTCAACATTATGTGGCAAGGGAGGACCACTGACTGGAGTGTGACGTGGTGCAGCTGCCTCCTCAACATGCTCCACACTAGCGGTTCCATGTGGCTCTTGGCCAACATTTGGCCTGCACGTGGAATATACACGGTGGCTTTCCAAGTTCACTTCGCTACAGTGAATTTACAAACCAGCAAGCATGGGGTTTCCGTTCGTCGGGGCCCACGTGTCGAAAGTTGTCAGCATTTGTGCCAATCACGGAGCAGCGACTTCTTCGGGGCCCAACCTCGCGATTCCAAACCCAAAGCTGGTTACCAAACCAGGCCCCACTTCCTTCGCTGCCAAACCGAAGCCCCGTTGCCGAAATTCTCGAGGCGGCTCGGTCATTAATCGCGGTTCGAGAGCCGAAATTGATCAGCTTGGGTTTGTGCCTCCCTCCCAACCAAACCTCCTCCGAAATCACTCGCCCTGGCAGCGGAAAACCCGTCTACAAGCCCAGATCGTGTTTTTCGCTCCTAACTGAAGCTCGCTATCCATTACTTCCCCGCCTTATCTGTTGCTTAGCCGCCTTCTATTTCTCATAAGCACTGTTCTGCAGAGGTAGCATACGCTTTATCATTCCCTCCTCCCGCTGGAATATTCGCCCTAGATGCCCATACCTGGACAAGCAAGTGACCGATCTGCCTTTGACCGTTCCAATGAACGCCGTAGGCAATAGCTGTCTTAGCATTAGGCCGTTCAAGGAAACCGAGCCTCTAGACATCCCAGGGCCTTATTTCATGGCGGAAGACATTTTCTGCCTTATCCAACAGCCTATTAGTAACGATCCCGACAGCGGGAATACCAGCTCCCACGCTGAGGCCGCCTTACGACTGGAAGCGTCGAGCTCGCCCTCTCCAGAGCGTCAGTCTGATCTCAGATTGCGCTGCACTGGCAACGATCAAGGATCCAACGGGCAAAACCCCCCCGTTCCCGCGGTGTGCGTCTCTGATGTCAACGCAATTGGCAGTAACGCACTGCACCAGATGCACCTGGACGCGTCAAGCGTCAGCGCGGACATCCTCGCTTGTAACGTCCCCCGTAACCTTGACGAGTCGCTTTTTCTTCCTCCTCCGGCGCAAATCACTGCTAGTTCGTTGCCTGTAAATAGCAATATTACTAATAATAGTAATCTCCGCAGATCGTTTTCCATTTACGACGCTGGCAAGGGCGAGCAATCTCTGCTGCTCCACCACGCGGATCCGACGTCCATCCCCGCTACAGGTGCGGAGCTCGTTCATTACCATCACCCTAATCGGAGCGCTGCCGCCGCCGCCCACGACGCGGCCAAGTTCGCAGACTGCAAGCCCGCGCCACGTGTCAGCGCGGGTTTCCCGATTTACCAAGCTCCGAGCTTCGCTGCCGCATCTGGCGCCGCTGAGAGTGCGCCCGTTGTGAAACCCGAGGAGAATCCCGTCAGATTCGCGCTTAACCAGCAACGTGAAGACGCGAGACTTCAAGTTGGGCATGAAATGCGGCAACAGCAGGCACAAGACGCTGAGTTCGAAGGGAGGATCGGCGTGAGTGTTGGTGACGGAGGAGTTGGGTGTGGCGTTGTGATGCAGAGGGCGGGAGGGGAGGGAGAACAGGGGTTGGTTGGCGAAAATGTGGTAACTACAGAAGCAGCACTGGCTGACGACGGGTTCTTCGCTGCGATGCTTGACGACATTGACTTCGCACCCGTTACTGTTGGCTCAGCATCGCGAACGCCAGGTTACCAAAATCAGGGGTTGAACCAGAACCCAAATACCGGGGTTCTGGGTTTTGCGGCGGAACTTCGCACGCACGAAGCTCAGGCGAGTGGATCGCACAATTATCGCAGCTTCTCTCAACAGCCGCAGCATCAGTTTCAGCAGCAGCAGCAGCAGCAGCAGCAGCCACAACTAGAGCCACAGTTCCAACAGCAACAGGCGCAACAGGCGCAACAGGCGCAACAGGTGCAACAGGCGCAGCAGCAGTTTCAGTGTAACACCAGCGGTAACCATCAGCAGAACGTCGTTACAGGAAGCTTCGCTTACCACCACGGCGACCAATCGTCGCTAGAGTTTAACAGCGGCTTTACCAGCGGATTTACCAGCAGTCACCCCTCTCCGGCCAACGCGCAGGCCGCCACGGTTCCCGCCGTCGATCCCGCCGTAAATCCCGCCGCCTTTCACGCGAGCGCCAGCGCGGATAATCTCCAGTACGCGGCGTCGTCGTACGAATCGCCGCAGCCGACTCTTCCGCCGCCCGCGCTCCCGCCCAACCACCCCGCTGCCGGTCCTTCCCAGCCGCCCGCGGTCAGTTTTCACGGCGCTCCTGCTGACGTGGCAGGGGGGTATTGCGGAGGCTACGCGCCGCCCCACGTGCCCCCCTGCGCGGGCCTTCCGCTCCCCCAACCAGCATCTCCGCTCGTCGTCTCTCCCGCGTCTCACTCTCCGCCGTTTCCCCCGCCCCCTCCGCCTGCGCCTGCGCCTGCTCCCCCTGCGCACTCTCTTCCGCCTCCGCCGCTCCCATCGCCGCCGGCTCCGCCCGCTATTCAAGCGGAATGGCAGCCACAATTCGCGCAGCAGCCGCCGCCGCCGCTGGTTCCCCTGCAGCAGCAGCAACAGCAGCAGCAGCAGCAGCAGCAGCAGCAACAGCAGCAGCAGCAGCAACAGCAGCAGCAGCAGCAGTATCAGAATCAGCCGAATGTATGGCAGCAGCAGCAGCAAGCGCAGCCGCAGCAGATACAGCAGCAGGTGCAAGAGCAAGGGTGGTCGCAGGATGTGTCCCAGCAGCAACTGAAGCGGGTGCGCGGGAATGCCTATATCGCGTACGAACGCCAAGGAGAGCTGACCATGCAGCAAGAAGACGTTCCACGTCACCTTGGCCTGACCCAAGCTGAGCTGTCCCGATCTGACGTGTCACAAGGCCAGAGCCCTGGTGTCCACGTGGCACAGGCAGGAGGTGGGGGTGGACATGGGGGATGGGGGTCTTCTAACCTCGGTATAATCACACCCGTTAAGAGGCACTTCTCAGGGGCCATACTTTCGCAGCAGCAATCACAACAGCAGCAGCAGCAGCAGGAGCAGGAGCAGCAGCAGGGAGTGCTGCAGCACGCGATGCAAATGCAGCCACGTCAGCAACAGGTCGTGCCAAGTCAGCAGGGATACTTGCAGCAGCAGCAAATGCAGAATCGCCAGCAACAGCAGCAAATCCCGCAGCACCAGCACCAGCACCAGCAGCAGAAGAGTGTGTACACTCAGCAGGTAGCTAGTGCTGGCAAACACGTGGCTGTCTCCAGTCAAGCCACGTGGCACCAGCAGCAGCAGCAGCAGCAGCATCACTCTTACCAGCACAGTTATCAGCAGCAGGAGCAGCAGCACCCACCGCAGCAGCAGCAGCAGCAGCCAGCACAGACACACACCTCCTTCTACAACTCTCCGGCGCCTCGTTTCGTCCCCCCCCCCCCAACTCCCCCCCCTATGCGCGCTACTCTTTTTCCCCCTCCCCCCACCCCCGCTGGTGGCGCTGCTGCTGCTGGCGTTGCTGCTGGTGCGGGAAGCAATAACGGTGGTGGTAGTGACGAGGCGACGGAGGCAGCAGAAGGGGCGGAAGAGGAAGGGCAGGGCAACGCAGCTCAGGAGTCGGAGCAACAGGTATGCCGACTGACTTTTGATTTTCCTTCTCTTGCAAAATTCCCTCCCACCCCTTCAAACCCTACTGCAAACATATTGATTGCCTCGACTTATCCTTCCTTCCTTCCTTCCTTCCTTCCGTCCTTCGCTGTTGCCCACCCCCCTTGCCCATCAGGAGGAGCCCACTCGTCGCAAGGGCCCGCGCACCAAGTTTTCCAAGGAAGCTGTCGATTGCCTCAACTCGTGGTTCCTCTCGCACCTGCACCACCCCTACCCCACCGAGGTATGACCCCACCCCTACCCCACCGAAGTATGGCTCACTCCCACCTTACCAAGGTATGACCCCGCCCTACCCCACCGAGGTATGATACCACCCTACCCTACCAGGGTGCAGCTTTATTTTTCAGTCACATACCTCTCACATTTGGCTTTAATCACAGTCCCTTCAAACCTCAGTGAACATTCCTCTCAGTCTCTCGGATAGAGCTTTATCTGCCTTTTTACTGGTTTTAGGTACGCTGTCGTTTCAACTCTGTTCCTCCACCACCTCCCGTCTTCTTTCCCCACTCCTCTTTTCCTTCCCCACCCCCCTCCCACGCCTTCCTTCCCCTCCCTTTCGTGTCCCTTCTCCCCCCTCCACTCCCCATTCTTCTCCTCCTCCTCCCCCGTTCCCCCCGCCAACGAGCAGAGGGAGAAGGCGGAGCTTGCAGCAAACTCGGGGCTGAGGGACACTCAGGTCAACTGCTGGTTCATCAATGCACGGGTGAGACTTTCTTTTGGCTTGACAAGTATCGTCCAGTCGTTGCGAGGTGGCTTTGGAATCGACTCACAGCTGAACGGCTGGTGCATCAATGCACGGGTAAGTTGATGTGTGTTGTAATGAGTCGATTTTTGAGTCTAGTCAAAAATCGACTCATTACACACGGATTTGTTGTACAAGTATCTTTCATTCTTTCCTTCCTTCCTTCCTTCCTTCCTTGCCGTGTTTCGCCTCCACTCACAAGCCCTTTTGAGTCCACTCAAAAGTCGGCTGGTTCATCAATGCAAGGGTAAGTCGATTTGTTGTACAAGTATCTTTCCTTCCTTCCTTCCTTCCTTGCCGTGTTTCGCCTCCACTCACAAGCCCCCTCCCTTTTTGACACTCGTTCAACTTACCAGATGCGGAGGTGGCGGCAGCAGAAGGACAAGTGGCAGGGCAAGCAGGGGGGGCCTGTTTTATCCCTTTGCACCCCTCCCTTTCCTCTCACAATGCTCCGCTGTTCCTCAAATACTCAACCCTCTTCTTACCAGATGCGGAGGTGGCGGCGCCAGAAGGACAAGTGGCAGGGCAAGCAGGGGGGCGCACCTGGCGGAGAGGGGGAGGGGAGGGGGAGGGACGGAGGGGAGGGCGGAGAGGAGAAGGGAGACGGCAGCGGCTCGAGTGGCCGACACGGGGATGGGAATGCTATGGTAAGGCTGCCATGCCATGCCATGCCATGGCAACACCATTCCTTCTGCTTCTCCTTTCTGTTCCCCTTTCCTACCCCACTCTCCCAGTCACACACGCATGCGCTCTCACTCACGCACGCGCACATACAAGTCATCAATTTCCCCTCTCATGCACAAGGAAGGACCTCAAAGCCGTCTTTGCCTTGAGCTGACTTTTGAGTCGACTCAAAAGTCACCCCTTAACGCCAGCTGCTGACTTCTGAGTCGACTCAAAAGTCACCTCTCACGCGCACATTCAAGTCATCACTTTCCCCTCTCATGCATAAGGACCTCAAAGCCGTCTTTGCCTCCCCCCCTCCCCTTTCTGCGCAGGTCAGCAGGCATCCATCTCCAGTTATTAGCGCGCCACACCTCGCTTGCGGCACACCCCTGCCCAATCCTACCAGCAATCCTAACCACCACCTGCAGCAGCAGCAGCAGCAGGAGAAGCAGAGGCAGCAGAAGCAGTTTTCTCCTTCCCCTCTTGGCTGCATCCCCAAGGGCAGTCTGCTGAAGGCTGGGAGTGCTGCTGGCTTTGCGGGTGGCTGTTCTGCTGCTGGTGATGGTGGTGATGGCGATGGTGGTGGTGGTGGTGGTGGTGGTGGTGGTGGCGGTGGTAACATTAATGGTGGCGCTTCCAACACTGCTGCTGCTGGCTTCGCTGAGTTAATCGAGGAGGAGTACCCATTTATTGAGTCGGAAGATCCGCTGGATTCGGTGCTTCCCGCCCTTGCATTGCTGAGGCTGCAGGTTAAGAGGTCCGAGAGCAAGGGGCAGAGAGGAAGGCAGCAGAAAGGGGAGAAGCACAAGGAGCAGCAGCTGAAGCAGCAGCAGCAGCGGCAGCAACAACAACAGGAAGTAAAAACGGGGTATTTGGGGTTGCTTATGAAGGGTGGTGAGGGGGGTACGAGAGAGACCCAGGGAGGCAGCGAGTGGGGTGACGGTGACGAGGAGGCAGAGCAGGAAGTCGGGGAGGAAGGGGGTGGCGGAAAGGGAGGGGAAGCAATGGGAGCTGATTTCCGCGACACAGAAAGCGTTGAGGAGGAGAAGAACGAGCAGGGGGAGGTGGGAGGGGAGGAGGGAGAGGAGGAGGGAGAGGAGGAGGGAGAGGAAAAGGAGGAGGGAGAAGAAGGGAGTGAGGAGGGGAGCGAGGAGGGGAGTGAGGAGGAGGGGAGTGAGGAGGAGGGGAGTGAGGAGGAGCAGCTGAGGGTGATGAGTCTAAGGGACGTGTACAGGCGATGCTTTGGGGAGGAGGTGGTACTCAGGCGAAGCTCGGACGAGGGGGACGGGCAGGGGGGTGGGCAGCGGGGTGGAGCTGCAGGGGGAAGGGGTGACGGGCAAAGAAGCGTTCAGGGGGGTGCACAGGAGAACGGGCAGGGGAGTGGGCAGGGTAATGCGGATGGGACTGGGCAAGGGGCTGGAAATTCGGGTGGTACAAGAAAGACCACAGGGAATGAAGGGAGAGCCCAGCAGCAGCAGCAGCAGCAGGGTCAGTATGGTGGTGCTGCCAGCTGTCTAGCTGATGCTATGTTCGCCCCTGGTGCTGACATTGGAGGGGGTGATTACATTGGAGGCTTAATGGACATGATTGACGGCCTGGATGGGCTGGCAGGAATGGACGGCCTAGATGGCATCGATGGGATGGAGGGCATTAATGATATGGATGGCCTCGAAGGGATAGACGTCATGAATGGGATGACTGGGATGGGGGATTTTGAAGGGGTAGCAATGGGAGATGATCGTGACATGCAGCATGATGGAGGGTTTGAGGCGCATGCAAGCACGGAGGAAGCAGCAGCAGCAGCAGCAGCAGCAGCAGCAGCAGCAGCAGCAGCAGCAGCAGCAGCAGCAGCAGCAGCAGCAGCAGCAGCAGCAGCAGCAGCAGCAGCAGCAGCAGCAGCAGCAGCAGCAGCAGCAGCAGCAGCAGCAGCAGCAGCAGCAGCAGCAGCAGCAGCAGCAGCAGCAGCAGCAGCAGCAGCAGCAGCAGCAGCAGCAGCAGCAGCAGCAGCAGCAGCAGCAGCAGCAGCAGCAGCAGCAGCAGCAGAAGGGGATGCTACTGAGGCGTCTCAATTTAATGATGTGCCTCAGAAACAAGAGGAGGAGAACTACTTCTGCGATGAAGTTGAGGGTTACTATAGCGAGGATGAGGAGGATATCTTCGAGGGGAATGGGTATGACATGGCAGGGTATGACGTGGCAGCGTGTAGGAGCAGTGGTACCCCTGGAAGTGGGGAAGGCAACAGGCATGGGGGGGACCACATGGTTGGTGCCGTGCCAGCCATTTAGTTTGCAAGCCGGTTAGTTTGCAAGCCATTTAGTTTGCAAGCCGGTTAGTTTGCAAGCCATTTAGTTTGCAAGTCGGTTAGTTGCTGGCCGTCTGAGTAAGCTGAGGGCTTGGTAGGAATAGAGAAAATTAGGAATATATAGAAACAGTGAAAGGGGACGAGCTCGTGCTAGAGTCAGGAAAACTAGATCATGTGTAGAGTCGTGCTAGGTGAGGGATTGTGTAGCTGTGAATTTAAATAATGTTTTGCTATCAGGTGTTAAATCTCTGATGGTCTTAGTTTCGTATGTCTTCTTGAAATATATCCGTTCCTGGAAAGGCTCTTAGGTGTTTATCGCACTCCTTATCGCACTCCACTCTCTTACCCGTCATGGACTTCAGAAGGGTCTCTCTCGTGTATCAATCTGTCGGCCTTGGACGCGGATGCTGCTTGAGACGCCTCGAAGTGTATTTTTGAGAAGTCTCAAAACTACTCCTATGACACACTTCTTCCAAGCATGCCGGCCTTGGACGCGGATGCTTCTTGAAGCCTGACGCCCTTTCGAAGAAGAGTACGCATTCTCGAAAGGCATACCGGGTCCGCCGGGACTAAGGAAGAGGGAAGGCAGCGATAAGGAAACACGCAGGCAAAATATCGCATTGACGATCATGTTGACGGACGAGAACGACTGTCAAAGGGTCCAAACGGATATTCATGTGAATACAATGCTGAATGGTTGACGGAATTTCGATTGTCAGTGCTTAGGACGAAGTGTGCCAGGTTCGCATGGCTCATGAGGGAGAGGAAAGAGAGAGGAAAAAGGGAGAGGGAAAGGGAGAGGGAAGGAGAGGAGCAAGTGAAAGATGTATAGCTGACGTATCAAGACGCGACGATGGAGGAGTGTGCGATGAGATAGGTCTAGGGGTGAACCAAACAATGAGGAAAGATGGCGGTGACGAATAGGGGGAAATGGATGGAGACAATGAGAATGAGTTGTGAGACTGAAAATGGCAGTGGGCAGAAGTGGAGTCAAGTTGACGCCGTTTGAGTTTCCTGTTGGCCCAAAGTTGCGAAAGGAACCGTACTGGGAAAGAACTGTGCAGTCATTTTCGCAAGGCTCGCGATCGGCCGTTATTTCGCAATGGCACACTTGACCCAGATGAGTGACGGAAAATAAGTGGGGTCTGCTTGTGACAGGTTACCCTGTTTTGTTCATGTTTCAATTCCCGTTTTTTTTGCGACGCAGTGTACCTGCAAGTTCGTGTGGCTGGAGTCACGCATAATGTGTTCATGTTTCGAATTCAGGAGTTCCCGTCTCAGCCTTGTCAAGTGGTGAACCGAACCAACAAATGAAACCGCTCATGACATCCAGCAGCTTTGCTGCATTTTGTAACGCCTATCACCTGGAGCACAGGGGCTGCGAACCGAACACATTCGGAAAGGCATCGAGTTCATGAATGGCCTGCGGTGGCATGTGTGGTGAGAGGTAACTATCCTCACCACGTGGACATCCAGGTTCAGATCTCCCCGCAACCCAGCCCGCCTTCGCTCACCCAGACAGGATGGCGACATTTCAAGGCATGGGGGAAGTGTCTAATGCCTACGTGGCAGGAACCGTCAGCTCCAGATTGTACCAATTACTGTACGAGCGGTTCCCCTTGCGCAGCGAGTTTCCGCCAAGTCGACCTTCGGGTTCGGGGTCACCCCAACCAATCCCAACCACCCTTCCCGACTTGTCGACCAATGGCTGCACCTTTCGCTCCCTCCGCGCTCAAACCTCATCCAATCTCCACGGCGGAACCCCGAACCTCGTTCTTCCGCGAGCCCCCCCCAAGCCATCTTTCTTCCCCCCACCTTCCCTTACCTCCCTCCACCACCACACACCCAAACCAAACCAAACTTGGTTTAGCGCGGTTCGTGAATTATGACTAAGAAACTGAGAATTGCACCAGTGGAGCTGCACTAGGTATAAAACTGCGAGAGTCGGCCAAATCTGAAACCGCACTAGATTTGTTGCTTCGGACATAATTAGGTGCTTGACACCAAGATATCTCGTCGTCAGCCACTCAGTCACCATGGCTGCGTCTACCAGCATTGCCGCTGGCTCGTCCCTGAAGCTCGCAACCACCTCCTCGCTTGGCGCGAGGTCCTCGGCTTTCCAGGAATGGTCCGAGGGCTCCATTAGAAGCATCTCCCTCAAGAGCACCAGGCCCGCAGTCAGCAAGACACAGTCTCGCCAGAAAGACAATTCCAATGGCAAGAACCGCATGGTGGTAAAGGCCATGGCGCCTAATGCTCTCGTGGACATCAACGCGGCTGATGAAGTCAAGTTCAAGGCGCTGGTCTCTCGCCGCGTCGTCTTCGACCATGCCGACTGGAAGGTAAGCATCAGTCCTCTCGACGCCGTCCTGCTGCCTAGGACGTCTCAGCCCCCACGCATCCTGACTTTTGGACAACGCATGTTCCATCCTTCCTTTTCCGTTGACAAGCTGCATGCTGGCCCCTCCCTGTCGTATAGTAATGGCTTCGTCGGTTTGACTCAGCATCTCCGGCACGTACCTGTCGAACCACCACCCTCCCCCCTTCGATCTCTTCACACACCTCCCTCCCCTCTCTCACCTTCCTCCGCTCCCCCCCCCCTCACCCCACACCCTTCCCACCCGCCTCCTCCAGAAACACAAATCCAGCGGCCGATACTTCAAGCACCTGCGCAGCATCCTGACGTCCAAGGTCATCGGTGCGCTGGGCCCGCCCGTGTCGGTGATGACGGGAATCGCGGCGGCGGTGGTGGGGTGGAACGAGATGGTGGTGATGGGCGCGCTGCCCGAGTGGGCTCCCGTGCTGCACATCTCCAACCTGCCCTTCAGCCTCACGGCGCCGGCGCTTTCCTTCCTGCTGGTCTTCCGTACTAACGCCAGCTACGGCCGTTTCGATGAGGTACGCATGACGTGGGAGGCCTGAAACACGTTATGTGATTTTTGAGTCGACTCAAAAATCACCTACGCATGACGTGGGAGACCTGAAACACGTTATTTCGAAATGTCAAATGTCGCTGATGGATCGTGGGAGCGATTGTTCATGGAGCAGGTTCAATTCCTCTTTCCCCTTCTGAGCAAGTGCGCCATTGATTATTTTTTCCTACAATTCACACATTCTGTGCGCGCTGAACTCTGCAGGCTCGCAAGATGTGGGGTCTCATGCTGAATCGCACGCGCGACATCACGCGACAGGCACTGTCGTACATGGCGCGCGACCAGTACACGTACGAGTACCCCAAGCGCGCGCAGTTCATCCGCCACCTGCAGGCGTTCCCCCTCGCGTACAAGCACCACTTCATCCAAGAAGGCTCGCTGGAAGAGGATCTCAGGGTAAGTTCCTCGATATCCCCTCCCCTATCTCCGCCGTACCAGCCGATTATTTTGGGTAACATTGACAATTTACCTCTAGTGGTCTACGCCCCGTAATGAGGGTAATTTCTCATGAAAATATTTTCACTGTCTTGCATGCTCCCCCCCCCTTCCCCTCCCCTCCCCCCCCAAACCCCTGTGCAGGACCTGACCAGTCTGACTGATGCGGAGATTGCGGGAGTGCTGGGGGCGACGCACCGGCCGAATTACGTGCTGCTGATGATGTCCGAGTGCATGCGCTCGTGCACCATGGAGCCCGTCAACCGCCTAGCTATGGTAAGCCTCGTTAAGGTGTAAAATGTTCCAGATAAGTTGAATAGCAAGTGAATCAACACACCCTCAGACCATTTGCGTGGCAACTCCTCACTATCAAGCGTGTGTCACATGTGTCATCTGCTGACATTTTAGTAGTGACTCTGCCGGCCCTGACTTATGCATGAACCTTTCTCTACAACCCTCGTTTGCAATCTTTTCAGGAGGCCAACTTCGCGACATTCGCGGATGACATCGGAGGCAGCGAGCGGCTGTTCAAGACGCCCATCCCGCTCTCCTACACGCGCCTCACCTCGCGCTTCCTCGTCCTCTACCACATGTTCCTGCCCTTCGCTCTCTGGGACCCCCTCGGCTGGCTCACCATCCCTGTGACCGCCACGTGTGCGGCTGTTTTCTTCTGCATTGAGGAAGTCGGAGTGCTCATTGAAAACCCCTTCCCAATTCTCGCCCTCGTCGTCATCTCCCAATCGGCGCGCAACAACGCTGGCGAGATGGTTGCCCTCCACGAGGGCGTCCGGAATCTTGTGGCGGAGGACGACCTCGAGATGAAGAATCTGTCAGCCCGCAAGCAGGAGGCTCTGCTGCCCCATGCGCCCCAGTTCGTGCCTGAGCCCGAGCCTGACTACCAGTCTGACTGGGATGAAGATGCTGCTGCCTTGGCCCCCATTCCTCCTGCTCCAGTGCCTCCTGTGGCTCCTGTTGCTGCCCGAGGGCCTTACAGCGAGTAAAGAAGGTTGATGAATCTGCGTCATTGGTCTACTTCATTATTTCTGGTTCCTTAGTTCCTCGTTTTTGCCAGGTACTGGTTGTAAAGTGCTATGTATGTGAATAAATGATTTGGAATTGGTGGCACTGTAGTGTCTCAGTGTATCAGCTACAGCTAGCCCAGTTACTGAGAAACACCGTGTTTCCAATGACTAAGCAACAATGTTCGCTGCTAGTGTGTCCAATGCTGAATCATGTTGGTTCTCATATCCTGCTCGTGCAATGCAGTGGAGTTTTGGACACCATGCTATCTTCAGGTCCGCTAGCCCAGCGCATTGATTGAGCTCCGAAGTCCATCCAGTGCATCAATTGCATGAATTGCGCGTTGATTGAGATCCGGCACATTGCATCACATTCTAGCCCTCTAGTGACTAGTCTCAGCTCTCAATTTTCAACGCCAGAATCGCGGCCAGGAAAGTTGATGGACCCCCAGAAATGGGAACGCGTGGGATGGTGCAGTAGTTGCCAATTCTTCGTATGGTTCCTACTTCGTGCATTTCGCCAGACGCTCTCGTGAAATCGCGAAGATGACAGGCCGCAATTCGGAAATTTTGCGAAGAGCGGGTCCAATCCAAAGTCGAAAAGTTTATGTAGCGAAGTTCTGGTTTGAGATTTCTTCGTTCCCACCATCTCACCACAGACTCCCAGTAACAGGTGTACAGTCAGTACATCGGATCCTGCCACGTGGTATAGCTTCCGTCCACTGATGGTTGGCGGCACTTCACCCCCAGATAACAGGCCCAAGTTTTCGTTTCTTGGCCATATTCAGATGGCGTGTCATGTATCCAGTCAGATCTCTCACTCAGCCGTCAATCTCCAAGCCGACTCTTCCATCCCGTCAGCACACGCCTGCCTGGGGCCCTCCAGCCACTTCCCGTATCAACCACTAGCCAATCAGCTCGCTTCGATTCCACGAAACAGCTGACTGAAGGCAAATCTCGTCATTTCCACACGCTGAAGGCAAGTGAGACCAGCAAGAAGGGCTGTTCTCGGCATTCCCAGTGCCAGCTTTCGCTGATCAGAGCTAAGAGCTCCATTTATTTACCACTAGCTCATCCCTACACTGAACAAATTTCCTTCCGGAATTCCCAAGGCGTATCTGTCTGTCCAAGCAGACACGCTCCTCCGCGTCTAGGGAAGACCGGACTCCTGGTTTTCTAAGCTAGTTACTGAGCTGAAACAAGTGCAAGAATGGCGGCCACGAATGTAGCATCACGAACCTCCATGTTTTTGGCTCCGTCTCAAACCAGCGGGAAAGCACAAGCTGCTGGTTTGCAGGACTGGACTGACGGCTCCTTGAGGAGTTTTTCGCTCCGCAAGAATAGCGTCACTGCCTCTAAGGCTCAGACTGTGCAGAAGAAGGCTAGAGGACCCCTGGTGGTGAAAGCTGTTGTTCCTAAGAATCTGGTGGATGTGACCACCATTGATGAGCAGAAGTTTGAAGCGTTGGTGCTGAGACGAGTGGTGTTCAATCACGATGACTGGAAGGTGCGTCACATTTCCCCCACGTTCGCCCAAGCACCGAACGAGTCTACGTTGCAATGTATGTTTCCACGTCTGGCATCCACCTAGAATGCATTTCCTTCGTAATGTGAGATCATGTGTTTCTCGTGCAGTTTTTTGGAGCCTGTTTTTTCAACTGTGTGATCCCTCTCCTGTCTCCAGAAACACAAATCCAGCGGCCGTTATTTCCGTCACATGAAGTCCATATTTACGTCCAAGGTTATCGGCGCGCTTGGACCCGCAGTCTCCGTGATGACCGGAATCGCAGCCGGCGTGGTCGGGTGGAACGAGCTGGTCACAATGGGTGCGTTGCCGGAGTGGGCTCCCGTGCTCCACATGTCCAACCTCCCGTACACCCTCACGGCGCCTGCTCTCTCCTTCCTCCTCGTCTTCCGGACAAATGCTAGCTACGGCCGTTTCGACGAGGTGAGATTGGGGAAAGGAAACCGCCTTTACTTTCTTCAAGGAAACTTTCTGACGCAGCAGCCAAATCCGTGAACTTCCTGGACGCGGGTTAATGGAAACACCGGGCTTCTCAGACTCTTAATGGATTACGTTCTCGAGGAATGGTCCCTCCCTGCATTCTCGCAAGATGTGGGGTCTCATTCATGCTGAGTTGTACTATGTTTTTTTATAATTCTCTAAAACATTACGTTCTCGTGGAATGGTTCCACTCTGCAGGCTCGCAAGATGTGGGGACTCATGCTGAATCGCACGCGCGACATCACGCGGCAGGCGCTGTCGTACATGGCGCGCGACGAGCACACCTACGAGTACCCCAAGCGCGCCCAGTTCATCCGCCACCTGCAGGCGTTCCCCCTCGCGTACAAGCACCACTTCCTGCAAGAGGGCTCTCTGGAGGAGGACCTTCGTGTGAGTGTATATCCGTCTGACGCATTTTCGCACGTCGTAAGCAAAATGCACGTCTTTCTTGTCTTGTGGACATAACTCTACAGGGTTTCACAGTAAGAAGTACCGTATCCAACGCTGATCGTATTTTTGAGGTGCCTCAAAAACAGTAAGAAGTACCGTATCCAACGCTGATCGTATTTTTTAGGTGCCTCAAAAACAGTAAGAAGTACCGTATCCAACGCTGATCGTATGGGTTTTGCCCGTCTCCTGCAGCAATTTACCACTCTGTCTGATGAGGAGATTGCGGGAATCCTGGCGGCCACCCACCGGCCCAACTACGTCCTGCTGGTCATGTCGGAGTGCATGCGGTCGTGCCACATGGATCCCATCTACCGCGTTGCCATGGTGAGTCATTCTGCTACTGAGCTTCATATCAGAACGTTTAATTTGCTGTCGGAAGAGAAAATGCAGTCCCACGAGAAGAGATGACGAAAGCTCTGTACATAAAAAATCACGGGAGGCATATGTGCAGAGAGAATGCCCGTCACGAGGGCGAGCTATTCGTTCGAAGTATCCCCTTCCCCATGCCTTGACGTTGGCCGCTCATGAAAGCCTCGTGCATAGAAGGATACAGCTTGTCAGAAGCCAGAGAGTTTGCCGAAGCTAGGTAGGAGGTGTTGCTTCATTTATTTCCTCTGGCTGAAAACCACCTCGTCTCCTATCTTGGACTGCCTCTCATATGAAACCACCTCGCCCCCTATCTTGGACTTCCTGCATTCTCCAGGAGGCAAATTTCGCGACATTCGCGGATGACATCGGGGGCAGCGAGCGTCTGTTCAAGACGCCCATCCCGCTCTCCTACACGCGCCTCACCTCACGCTTCCTCGTCCTCTACCACATGTTCCTGCCCTTCGCGCTCTGGGACCCCCTCGGCTGGCTCACCATCCCTGTGACTGCCACGTGTGCGGCCATCTTCTTCTGCATTGAGGAAGTCGGGGTGCTCATTGAGAACCCCTTCCCCATCCTTGCACTTGACGTCATCGCCCAATCAGCCCGGACCAATGCCGCTGTAAGTCTCCGTAGCTTTCTTGCTGAACTTCACAGGTCACTCCCAGTCCCTCGACCTTCATGCCTGTCGCCATCACGCTGTGACTCCTCTCCACATGAAGCCGCTGCATTCACCCGCCATAAGCACTACCCCCTTCAATGCTTCTACTGTCTGATTCTCCCTGCCATTGCCTCCACTGGAGCTTGTGCTGTTGCATGAGGCTGTTGGCACGCTGGCTGGAGATGGCTCGTGCTGTACATGCCGACCTTGCAGGTTCGGCCTCATTGTGGTTTCTCTCGGCCATCTCTCAACACTTGCCCTCTTCTCTTGCACATGCTCCATCCGATTCCTTCCCCTCTACAGGAGCTGGTTTCATTGCACGAGGGCATTTGCAACCTGGTTGCCAAAGATACTTAACCCGAGCGCGTAAGTACGCGCCAGAGTCTCTCAAGAGGCTTGCGTCATGTAGCTCTCATGTCTTGTGAGAAATATCTTCTAAACCCCCCCTCTCCCACTGCAGGAGCTGGTTTCATCGCATGAGGACATTCTCAACCTGGTTGCGAGAACGATTTTGAGATGAAGATGGTATCAGCGAACACATCTCGACTGATATCCCCCCTCCCCACGCTCCCCATCTCTCCCCTTCCCCCTCTACAGGAGCTGGTGTCATTGCACGAGGGCATTCGCAGCCTGGTGGTGGAGGACGACCTCGAGATGAAGGTGCTCTCAAACGTTTCACATCCTATCCTCTCCCTCGCCCCCCTACTCCCCCGCTCTCTCCCCCTGCCCCTACAGGAGCTGGTGTCGCTACACGAGGGCATTCGCAACCTGGTGGTGGAGGACGACCTCGAGATGAAGATGCTCTCAGCAGTCTCCCAAGAGGCGCTGCTACCCCACGCGCCCAAGTACGTGCCCGAGCCTGAGCCCGAGTACCAATCCGACTGGGACGAAGACGCCGCTGCGCTCGCCACCCCTCCCCCCCCTCCTCCGTCCCCCGATGTCCCTATCGCCGCTCGGGGCCCTTACAGCCTGTGAGGCTGTGGACTCAGCTCCTTGAACCGTCTCAAAAGTGGGATTGGTTCTGGGTTCAAAGAGTTTGTGGGTTTTGCTCAGTAGTGGGAGGTGATGGGGTCAAGGGTTACTGGAGTGTACTAGTATGGTAGGTTGGCATCTTCCACTCGTGCTAACCGTCTTTTCTTGATTTCAGGATGCCGACCGTGGCTAAAGGGAATTATTCCCCTCGTGTATGGTTGAACTAGTGTGGGAGGGATGCCTGGGACAGGTCCTAGAGTCTTTATTACCAATACGGTCATGTGGTGATGGTCATATGGTCACGGTCATGTCGTCCCTGTGGTGTGCCTGTGCTGTGTAATGTGGCGATTATAGCTGTGTATTCAGTGTTCCACTTGTATGGAAAGCCATGCATTGTTTGTGACTCAGCAATTCCACTCCACGGCATCAAGAACAAAGATTTGACTGGGTTTATAGACCGTAGATAGGTAACATCCTGTAACAATGCATCCTAAAATAATCTCATCTCGGATCATTGCAGGATTCAGAAACTCAGCGAGATCATGGCACAGTAAGACAGTACCTTGCAAATCGAACCAGTGCCCCCCATCCTAACCCACAAGCACCAGCCCATACATCCTAGAGAGGTCACTGCGTTGTACTGAACCCGGCCTCGCAAACACCTGCCTACACCTTTCAATAACCAAGGTGTGCAGCATCTTGAGCTCCAGTACATCATCTGGCAGAGCCTCCAGCCGCCCACATTCACCCAGATTCAGCGACTTCAGCCTTGTCAGCCGTGCAAAGCCAGAAGGCAAAGAAATGATGCCGGTTCTCTCTGTCAAACATGTGTATTTGTCATGTTTGTATAGACTGTATAGGGTCACCTCTTAGAGGGTACAACACTTAGGTATATCTGTGTGTACTCTCACTCTATCATTCACTTCTCTAATTCTGATATGGTATCACGCGTAGGTTAGGATCCCCCCCCACCTACTGCTTCCGCTCCCCCCCCTAGCTCGGCCCCGCCGTGCCTCCCTCCTAGCCCCGTCGCGCCCCTCCTGGGCCCCGTAGCGCCCCTCCTGGGCCCCGTCGCGCCCTTCCTGGGCCCTGTAGCGCCCCTCCTGCGCCCCGTCGCGCCCCTCCCAGGCCCCGTCGCGCCCCTCCTGGGCCCCGTAGCGCCCCTCCTGGGCCCCGTCGCGCCCCTCCTAGGCCCCGTAGCGCCCCTCCTGGGCCTCGTCGCGCCCCTCCTGGGCTCCGTAGCGCCCCTCCTGGGCCGCGTAGCGCCCCTCCTGGGCCCCGTCGCGCCCTTCCTGGGCCCTGTAGCGCCCCTCCTGGGCCCCGTCGCGCCCCTCCCAGGCCCCGTCGCGCCCCTCCTAGGCCTCGTAGCGCCCCTCCTGGGCCTCGTCGCGCCCCTCCTAGGCCCCGTAGCGCCCCTCCTGGGCCTCGTCGCGCCCCTCCTGGGCTTCGTAGCGCCCCTCCTGGGCAGATGTTTGATATGGACATGGATGCCATTGTTTCTGCTCTGCATGTGATGTATGCTGATGACTCTAGTGTGCTTCTCGCTTATTACTCACTGTTGCCTAGTGTAGGTGTGCCTAGCGTAGCCTCCCCTGCTGCGTCAGGCGTAGGATCCTCTACTTTGTCTAGTCTTGGTGCTTCCGCCGTCGTTCCGTCGCCAGACGCCTCTGCTTCGCTTTCCTTCACCTTGGACTCTGGCGCTTCTCGGTGTTTCTTCCGTGACTCCACCACCCTGACGCCGCTTCCTGTTCCTGCTGCCGTTTCTCTTGCTGACCCCTCCGGCGGTCCGGTAGTCGCCCGCAGTTCCACCACCCTTCCCTGTCCGGCGGTTCCTTCGGGCACTCTCACAGGTCTGCATATCCCCTCGTTCTCCAGGAACCTAGTTGGTGTCGGCTGCCTCCAGGACCTTGGCGTCACCACTACGTTCCCTGGTCACGAGCGGTATGCTGTCTGTACCGAGGCCGCCACTGGTGCCCCCCTGTCCACGTTCCCCCGGGACCCGGTGTCTGGCCTGTTCACTGTGGACACCGTGACCCCCCCGGCTGGAGCGCTCACCCAGGTTGCTGCTGCCTGCTCCTGTCGGTCCCTCACTCACCCGACCCTCCTTTGGCACCACGGCCTAGGTCACCCTGCGCTCCCGCGTCTGCGTCACATGTCCCAGCACGGTCTTGTCCTTGGTCTCCCAGGTTCTCTCCCTGCGTTTCCCTCCTCCCTCGCCCCCCCTTGCACGCCTTGTATCGAGGGTCGGCTTCGCCGTGCCCCTCACTCCTCCTCGTTTCCCCCTACCGCCGTGCCGCTGCAGACCCTGCACCTGGACGTCTGGGCCCCCCCCCCGTCCATGGGCCGCGTCGAGAGCGCTACTTCCTTGTGCTTGTCGACGACTTCACTCGTTACACCACAGTCTTTCCCTTGGAGCGCAAGGCCGACGTGCCTGGTGCTCTCATCCCCTGGCTTGTCTCTGCGCGTGTCCACCGCGGTCTCCCTGTCTTTCGTCTTCACTCCGACCGTGGTGGCGAGTTTGCCTCAGGTGTCCTTGGTCGCTTTTGTCGTGCGGAGGGCATCACCCAGACGTTCGCCCTACCGGACTCCCCACAACAGAATGGGGTCGCTGAGCGACGCATCGGTTTGGTCATGGAGGTGGCTCGCACCTCCATGATCCATGCCGGTGCACCCCATTTTCTGTGGCCGTTCGCTGTGCGCTACGCTTCTCACCAGCTTAACTTGTGGCCGCACCCTCAGCAGCCGCAGGTTTCGCCGACCCGTCTTTGGACTGGGTCTCCTGGTGACGCGTCTGCGTTCCACGTCTGGGGCTGCCTTGCTCACGTTCGTGCCTCCGGCACGGACAAGCTCACTGCCCGCACCCTTCCCTGCGTCTTCCTCGGTTTTCCCCTTGACGCGTCCGACTGGCACTTTTACCACCCGCCGTCTCACCGCTTCTTTCACTCTCGTGACGTCACCTTTGACGAGTCCGTCTCCTACTACCGTCGCTTCCCCCACCGTGGTCCCCCGGTTACCCCCCCCCTGTTCCTGGTCCCTCCTTCCCCGGTAGTCCCTGCCCCTCCTCCTCCTCTTCCCCGTCCCGCCCCCTCTGGTGTGTCCCACGTCACCCCCCTTCCGTCGGAGGACCCGGTTGAGGAGTCTTCTGACTCTGGTGGCCCTCCTGTGCAGTCCTTGCCGGCCGCCCCTCCCCCGGCGTCCCCTCCCCAGTCCCCTCCTCCACCGCCTCTGCCGCCGCTGCAGCCGTCGTTGTCGCTGCCTCCGCCACCGCCACCGCCGCCGTCGCCGCCGCCGCTGTCGTCGCAGCACCCGTTCGCTGACTCTGGGGGTGCTCGTCCCGGTCGCCCTGGGGGTGGCCCCTCTGGGGGTGCTGGTGTGGAGAGTGCCGGTGGTAGCCGAGGAGCAGCTTGCGGTCCAGGTGTCGCCGTTGTGCCGCCGCAGCAGCAGTCCTCGCCGGTGTCAGCCCTTCGCCTGCTCGGCCTTCCGTCCCCCGACCCTGCGTCTGTTCCTCCCCGACCGTCTCCTCCTCTTCCTGTCTACGGCCCTGTTTTCCCTCCGCCGGACTCGTCCCCGGCCTGTCTCCCCCCTCGTTCCCCTCCTGTGTCCCCTCCCCTGTCTCCTGACCCGACTCCTCCGTCGCACGTCTGGTCTCACCGTCCCTCCCGTGCTCGTCCTGCCTCGCCTGTCTTGCGCTCCCACCCTATGTTGCTTCGTTCCCACGCGTCTCGTCCTCCCCTTCTGCCGTCGCCTCCTCCATCCTCCCTTGTTGTTGCACCCCCCCCGCTGTCTGACTACCTTCGTGCCGCTCGTTCCCTTGTTCCTCGGGTCCTTGCCTCTCTCGTTACCGACCCGTCTGTTCCGGTCTCGTGCCTTGACGCTCTTGTCGCTGCTGTCACTGACATCGCCTCTACCCGCCGCCTTGACTACGCCACAGCTCTGGTCTCTGACCCTGCCTGTCCTCCGTCTGTCGGGGGTGCTCCTGCCCTTGGCAGTGACGTCCTGGAGGACCGCCAGTTCGAGCTTGCTTTCCTCTCCGAGGCTGCTCCCCATCTCTGTTCCATGCTGCTAGTCCCTGAGGGTGACCCAGACGCTTTCGACATCCCGACCCCTCGCACTTACGCTGAGGCGACTTCGGGACCCTGGGCCTCACAGTGGATAGCTGCCATGGAGCAGGAGATGGCATCTTGGAGATCCACCGGCACCTTCGTCGACGCAGTTCCCCCACCTGGGGTGAACGTAGTCGATGGCCGGTGGCTCTTCAAGGTGAAGCGCCCTCCTGGAGAGTCGCCTGTGTTCAAGGCGTGCTATGTGGCTAGAGGCTTCAGTCAGCGCGAGGGGGTGGAATTCTTCCAGACCTTCGCTCCGACCCCGAAGATGACTACTCTTCGGGTTCTGTTACACATAGCTGCTCAGCGTGACTACGAGCTTCACTCCCTCGACTTCTCCACTGCCTTCCTTCAGGGCAGCCTACACGAGCAGGTCTACCTGCGTCGCCCTCAGGGCTTTACTGGCACCTTCCCTCCTGGGACCCAGTGGCTCCTGCGGCGCCCCGTCTACAGCCTGCGCCAGGCTCCCCGTGAGTGGCACAACACTCTCCGTGCTACTCTTGCTGACCTGCAGTTCTTTCCATCTTCCGCAGACCCTTCACTCTTCGTTCGTGCTGGCCAGACTCCGTTCTACATCCTTGTTTACGTCGACGACCTGGTCTTCGCCACAGCAGACAGGGACGCACTGGCCTCCGTGAAGGCAGAGCTGCTGAAGAGACACACGTGCACTGACCTTGGAGAACTGCGCCGCTACCTTGGCTTGCAGATCTCCAGGGACAGAGCATCGCGCACCATCACCCTGACTCAGTCACACTTGGTGCGCCAGGTCCTTCAGAGGTTCAGCCTTCAGTTCTCCTCTGCACAGCCCACCCCTATGCCTGTAGACCACAGACTCTCCGCTCCAGTGTCTGAGGAGTTGGTAGAGCCCAGCGGCCCCTACGCAGAGCTGGTGGGTTGCCTCATGTACCTGATGACTGGCACTCGCCCAGATCTCGCATACCCTCTCAGCATCCTGGCTCGCTTTGTGGCCACAGGCAGACACCGACCGCAGCACTGGTCTGCCACTAAGAGGGTTCTGTGTTATCTTGCTAGTACATCGGGCATGGGGTTAGTGCTAGGAGGACGCAGGCCAGTGGTCCTTACTGGACACACAGACGCTTCGTGGGCAGATGACGCCGAGACACTCAGGTCTACCCAGGGCTACTGCTTCAGCCTTGGCTCAGCTGCCGTCTCGTGGAGAGCTACCCACTCCTCGTCTGTTGCGCAGTCCAGCTGTGAGGCTGAGATCTACGCTGGTGCCATGGCGGCACAGGAGCTCCGCTGGCTGACCTTCTTGCTCACTGACT